GTGCTCAGCATATGTGGGAACTCCTTCAAGACTGTTGGAAAAGCATTCCAGGTGAAGCTGGTTGAGATAATGCCAAGAGTGTGCAAAGCTGTCATCAAGGCAAAGGGTGGCTACTTTGAAGAATCTCAAATTTGTTTAACACTTTTCTGGTTACTACATGATTCCATATGTGTTATTTCATAGTTTTGATGTCTTCACTATTATTCTACAATATAGAAAATAGTCAAAATAAAGAAAACCCCTTAAATGAGTAGGTGAGTTTAGTACAACTGCCACAATGGTATATAGTATCATAACTCAATAATTAAATATATTTTAGTATTTTCTAAAGTCTAGCAACCTTGCCAGCAGGCATGGCAGCTAAAATAGTTAGACAAGCTACTCTAACTTGATTGATAGCCTGAAATGTCTTGGTAGCTAGCTAGGAGGTTGGGAGATTGGGAAACAATCTAGCTGGCTAGCTAATGCCAACTTCATAAAATTGCTAGGTGGCTAGTATTACAGACAAACAACAAAACATTTTAGTTGTATTTATTCAATAGCCTACATAGCTTGATCAAATTAATTTACAAACATACCTCCTGCGAGTCCTGCCCATCACCGGCAACTAAAATCAAATCAAACGCTGTGTGTATCACTCGACACTCTCTCACCTCCTCCACATGATATTGGCTGTGTCCGAATACCCATACTAGCGTACTAAATACTTAAATTACATACTATGTACTCATCGTCACATACTATTTAGCACGTACTGTTTAGTAAAAAGTATGCAGATGCCACAGACGCAACGCAATCCATTGTGGAAAAGTGTGCATCGAATTCTACTAGATGAAGAGCCGAAATGAGTATAACATCCTGGCATTTGAACCATACTACAGTTTCTAAAGTTCACATACTCTTATTTTTTCGCATACTGAGAATGCGTCATGCGTGATTACGTTGTTTCCCATTATTCATTGATTTCAGTAGCGCATCCTCATATCTAATTGATCAGCTGTTGTCAAAGCCGAAAAGAGTATGACATCAGGGCATTTAAAGTATATTCGATTTTCTAAATGTCTCATACTATTAAACTTACTTTTTTTGCATACTCAAACAGCCTAATATTTAGGACACCAGTATGGGTATTCAGACATGGCCAGTGTCTGCACGCACTAGAGCAGGGATTGGCTACTCCAGTCCTAGGGGGCCTAATTGGTGTAACACTTTTACCCCAGCCCCAGATAACACATCTGACTACAATAATCAACTAATCATAATCTTCTGTTTACAAAGCAATTAGTTTAATCAGCTGTGTTTGCTAGGGATTGGGAAAAAGTTTGGCACCACTCCAGACCAGAGGACTGGAGTTGCCCATCCCTGCACTAGACTATCTAGCATTCTGTCTAGCATATCTCTGCTCCACAGTGCACCTTGGAAGGAACCACATACTAGGGAGAATACATTTTTATGATAAAACGTGGGCTTCAAAATTAAGTTTAGTAATTAATTTAACATAAAAATGTTTTTTAAACAGGACAAATCTGAGGGGGCACGTGCTCTTATGCCCCCTATAGGCGTGATGCCTCTGTTAAGTTATTTCTCCTATGTCTGTCCACAGAGTTTCCTTAGTTCTGTTAGTATTCCTGACAACCCAGCTGGCTGGTTCCTCTGTCTTTCCCAGCGTCTGACTCAGTCCTCAGATATTCCTCAGGCCTATGGTGGACTGGCGAATTCTTCTTCTCTCTGGCTCTCTCTCTCTTTCTCTGTCTTGACTGCACCCAACTCTGGTCTGTCATCCAATATAAATATTTAACAGCCTGGCTGTGCTTGTGAGATCAACAACCAAAGGTCACATCCCTCTCTGTTCCCCTCTCTCCACATCATCTCCTCATCAGAGAAAACCCACTGTTCCAGACTTTCAGCATTATGGCACATGACCATCACCCATCACACTAACCATACTTTAAGAAAGGTTTCTGAGATATTTTGTAGGTTATAGCATTGGCGTCAATGTGGCTTAAGTCACATCACTAGTTGTGGCTTTGTTTGAATGTTAAACTCTTGAATTGAGCTACCTCTTGAATTTAGAAGTTCTCACATTAGGCCATCTGTTGAAGATTGTAAGCTATTTAACATCATGTTGTCCTAAAAAACGACAAATCATTGACTCACCTTGAATACTTCCCTGTATTTGAAGTCTCCTGCCATGCGGTCATTTGTAGGAATAAATCAACATTCATCATTGTGAGCTGGTGGATGTTGACCGTTGTTCTTCATTAACAACACAACACTGCTTAGTGCTCACATTAAGAATTAACCCTGTAGTGTTTGTAATAGGCCACTAGATGGCATCCTATGGCCACAGGTGGGTCCAAATGCATGACGCTCATAGAGTACATGTTCAGGAGCTGTGGAAATAAAGTCCAATATAAGGCCTTTTTGTTGGGAGAAGAGACCACCACAGAATCAAAATCTCTAAATATCTAGACAATTAAAGATGCGCTATGCAGAATTCGCTCTGCCATTTCCTGGTTGCTAAAATTCTAATAGTTCGCCTAATTTCAGTTTATTTAATTTAATTTATTTTACCTTTATTTAACTAGGCAAGTCAGTTAAGAACAAATTCTTATTTACAATGACGGCCTACACCGGCCAAACCCGGACGACAAAACAAGTAAGTATCATGTAGAGAATCATTATACCATCTAAACTGCTGTGAAATACTTTCCATAACCAAAAATATTGTATTTTCAGCTGTTTGAAGCTGGTGTACAAAACCAAAAGTAGAAAACACAAAAACGAAACTTAAGAATGGGAAGCATAGAAGTAGTGTACATAGAACAGATCTACCGCTTCTTAGACTTGTTTTCGCTGAGAACGTCAGATCTATAACACCCATTTCTATGTGAATTTGGTCGGTTGCCCGAAGAATTACATATTGCAGCTTTAAAGAAATAGATAATAAATAATACTAAATAAACAAGTCTTATAATTCATAAAGTTATAAGTGCTAATATGAAAAAATCAAGTGCATTAAGGGAAGGGTAGTAAATGCTAATAAAACCTCCCATATATTTGAAAAGAAAACACATTCAAAGATCTTAAAGTATCATGCAAATAAAACAAGTACAAATTAAAGGTAAAAGAAAAGTGTAAGTGCTAATATAGGCAAATGAAGTGCATTAAGGGGAGGAGAGTAAGTGCTATAGAAGCCTCCCTTAAAGTATCATACAAATAAAAGGAACACACACTAAAGATCCAAGCAAAGTATTTATAAATAAATAAATCATTATTAAGTTTAGGGTTGAGCTGGAGTGTGGACATGAAGCTAGGGTTAGGGTTATGGTTAGGGTTAGGGTTGAGCTGGAGTGTGGACATGAAGCTAGGGTTAGGGTTATGGTTAGGGTTAGGGTTGAGCTGGAGTATGGACATTAAGCTAGGGTTAGGGTTATGGTTATGGTTAGGGTTAGGGTTGAGCATGGATGTGGACATGAAGCTAGGGTTAGGGTTATGGTTAGGGTTAGGGTTGAGCTGGAGTATGGACATTAAGCTAGGGTTAGGGTTAGGGTTAGGGTTAGGGTTAGGGTTAGGGTTATGGTTAGGGTTAGGGTTGAGCTGGAGTGTGGACATGAAGCTAGGGTTAGGGTTATGGTTAGGGTTGAGAAGGAGTGTGGACATGTCACGACTTCCACCGAGGCTGCCTCCCCTCCTTGTTTGGGCAGGTTTCGGCGTTTGTCGTCACCGGCTTACTAACCACTGCCGCTCCCATTATCATCACTCCACTTGTCTTGTCTTGTTAATCACACACACCTGGTTCTCATCCCCTCATTAGTCTGTGTATAAGCGTTCCCTCTGCTCCCTTGTCTGTGTGGGTGATTGTTCCATGTGAGAGTAGAGTAGCGCGGTTGAGCTACTCTCTTATTGTATTGCTGGGGTAGATTTATTCCCCTATGCTTGTATATCGTTTGGAGTATTTCCATACCGTGATTGCCAGGGTAGAGAGTTTCCCCTGTGCCTATGTTTGTATGTCGCTATCCAGCGCAACTGTGACGGAAAGGAATAAACTCTGTATTCAGTGATTTACCCTCCTGCGCCTGACTCCTTCTATCACACTCATCACAGGACATGAAGCTAGGGTTAGGGTTGGGGTTAGGGTTGAGCTGGAGTGTGGACATGAAGCTAGGGTTAGGGTTGAGCTGGAGTGTGGACATGAAGTTAGGGTTAGGGTTAGCGTTGAGCCTGGATGTGGTCATGAACTATTCAAAGGCGTACGGCCCTAAACAGAGACAGAAAATATGTTGGCATGCAGATAATCATCCGCATCTACCCAGTAACTCTGTGTTATTAAATGTCTTTGTAATTAAATGTTATAATCAGAAATATGTATCATGGTGAGCTGCATAAGTACTTCTTCACTAAGGGAGCAGACCACACTAGTCCCAGTAACAGCTATATTCATGGCTTTTATTACACATATAAAACACATATATCATTCTACAACACACAACATGTCTTAAATAACAGATACAAAAAGTAGACAGTAAAAACACAGTAAGGGCTAGGGTAGTAAATATAGAGTCTAAAAGGCAGTGATTGATATTTGGTCCTAAAACAGTTATATATCAAACAGAATAGTTATCACCACAAGAAGTCCCTCTTATATATGTAATAGATCACAGTCAAGTAAAGTAAAGTGCATGTACAGGAGAATATAGTTTTACACATTCAAGTCTTTTTTGCCTCTGTAGCTCAATTGGTAGAGCATGGTGCTTGTAACGCCAGGGTAGTGGGTTCGATCCCCGGGACCACCCATACGTAAAAATGTATGCGCACATGCCTGTAAGTCGCTTTGGATAAAAGCGTCTGCTAAATGGCATATTATTATATTATTATTATTGTGCAATTTATGCCAATTGTAGCATATCTGGCAGGTCACATTCATTATCTTCCTCTTCTCAGCCTTATTGTGGTGCACTAGGTACAGTAGTGTCCCTCAACAGCATTTGATCATATCATCATATCAGTTTGTCATGTGATGGTCTGTGCCTGGGGCGTTTAGTTTGCAGGAAGCTCTTGATGTTCTGGCGACACAGAGGGCAGGTTCCAAACTCTTGGATCACTCTGGTGGCACACTGGAGACACAGGCACTGGTGGCCACACTGCAGGGTGATACAGGCCTCCTGGCTCATACACACCATGCAGTCCTCCACACTCTCACTGTCTGCAATCAGGACAGATATGCTCAGTTACATGAACTGTGAGGTCAAGTGGGACCCGGCTCGGCATGGCTTTGAAGTTAGGGTGGTTAGTGGTGTGGTGTCCATAAGGTTGGTCACTCCTATGTGAGGCTAACATGTACTGTACCCACAGTATGTCCTTGAACTAGTGTGGCTTAGATGTTTCTATAAATGTTTCGCTACACAATAGTACAAGTGTGTAAAATGTTAGCCTTGGGAACATTTTTTGTTTGCCAAGCAGAAATAGTATTGAATGTTTTTATTTTAAGAATAGCTAGATGAGATATCAAGTAAATACATTCAAATGAAGGATATTTTATATTAAAAAGAATTAAAAACAAGATAGCAGGAGTTTGTTGTATCATTGTGACGCTTACCTGATGTCTGCTTATTGGCTGGACAGGGAAGAAGACATCTGTCATGGCTGTCATCACAAATTTGCTTCACATTCACATAGCTTTCTACATTGAGCGAGGTATGTCTCTGATGAGCAGAACAGGAGGAATGCAGTTGAGGAGCAGGACAGGATTTTCGATTCCACAAAAAGTATTTCTTCTCCGAACCTACAAGAGATAACCAGATGTGTAGTTAGTCACTGACAGTTGGACATCAGTAGCCCTTTCCTGCATTCAATGACCAAAAGCGCCCTCTTTGCCTCATGGGTGGAATGTTATTAATATTTTTCATAATTTCATAATTAATAAAGATTTATTTTTTTTACCTGATGAAAATCTGATGTTTCTATGCCAAACAGTTTTGTCTTCTGTGATGTATATAAAGCATAATATTGGGATGCAAACTCAAAATTGTACATTTCAACTCTATATCTGACATGGTACAGGTGTCTTCTTTTTTTAAGCCCATAACCATGTGTGTGAGGTGTATACTTTTGTTTCAAAGTAGATTTGTTTAGGACTACCAAGAATCACTCTGTGTGACAGAGTAAAATGAGAAGGACAGACAGACTGCACTGTTCATTCATACATGTTCCATTGATTTCTGAACTTACCCAGTAAGAGCACAGAGCAGGTCTGCCCATACACATCAATTATGGCCCACAGGGGCCGGCTGAGGTCTACTCCCTCCAGCAGTTTGTGTTGTCGGCCGTTGGCATTCCTGAAATACACTGTACCGCCACAGGAGACCCAGAACTCCAGCTCTGAGCTTGCCAGGCAGCACGTCTCAGGCACAGGAGCGACCCAGTGACCAGGGATGTCTGTGAGGTCTGGGATGGCCAGGGAGGGCAAGGCTCCGGCAATTGGAGGTACAGTGGTGAAGCCCATACGCATGGCTCCATGCCAGTTCAGCTCACACCGCTCCACTCGCAGACGCACCCTCTCCTGGACCCGTACCGGGCGGCTGCTGAACACCAGGCCATGTCTGAAGGTACCCCCAGTCCTGTCTGCCCGTCTGGCCCCCTGGCTCAGGCTCACCAACGCCCCCACCGCCTCCCTATGGAAGGTCAAGGGGCCCAGGCAGCGGGGTCCACAAACGTGTGCTGGCTCAGACTCTAAAGGAGATTTAAAAAGGGGAAGTAGGGTTAATCAATGGAATGCTACAGTACCTCAGTCAGCGATGAAAAAGATAGCTGTTGTTGACAGACATAAAGATGAAAACGATCAAAACAACATAGAAATGAATATATGAAGGTGACTGAGAATTAAACTGCTTTACTGCTTTACTGAAATTGATTCTATGCAAGCCAACAAAGTAGATTGCATCAGTATAGGAAAGTATGTTGTCAAAGAATCTTAAATGACAGCAATTCTCATTTAGGGATCAATACAAATACTGAATGTTACTTGCAAAAGAGGATATGAGATTATATTAGTGTTATTATTCTTTTGGTTTTGCGTTAACACTGCCAGCAAGAAAGGCAGTTACAGTATGTTGATAGATAAATACAGGAGAGTGACCTGGTTAAGGAAGAGGCTTGTTTACATCACATACCTGTTTACAGTGCCCTCAACAAGTTATCTGATTTGTCTTACATTAAATTGTATCTCCCCATTAACCTGTCCTAAACTTTCATTCATATTAATAATAATTTAGCCCCCTCTCACCCTGGACCAGAGAAGCCTCTGCATAGCAGATTTCTTGTTAGTAGTAAATCTAATTCCTAGTCAAGCCATAATAACAATACAAATAAATAAAACAGATTATATGGCTGGTTGCCAGAAAATCTCATTCAATTGTTTATCATAAATTACAGATTGGTCTTCCTCGAGGATCTGCCACAGCCATGGGTAACTGGCCATGTACAGGATGTCAGTGCTGTGAATTAATGGCGTTGCTGTCATCTGTGCCTTCCAGAACCCCTTGACGTAAATGTGTATGATTAATTGAAGGAAAAATATTTTAATGTTTGTAGATATAAAGATGAACTTGACATAAGACCGTTATAATATAAGTGGTAGGTCTATATCTATTAAAATATACTACAGGTAGAATTTTTCTCCTATTACAATTACAACACAGTTGTCATAATTTATCAATAAAGAGACCATCCTTACCAAGGCTTCTGCTGACCATCGTATACAGTTTGCTCTTAGTATCCTCTGTAATGTAATGCATAGCCACATAGTACACCTACAGTAGGTTGAGTAGTTCTGAGGTGGTGGGAGTGTTCGCTGGCTTTATACTCCTCTGTCTGCACATACCTGTAGTTTATACACAAAACATGACTCATCACAAGAAAATAAAAAAGGGAGGAATAAGGGGCTGGACAGTACCTACATTCTAACAGAAGATACCATGTTTTTATTTGTTTTATCTAACACCATTTTCTGTGTTATCCAACACTTTGAGATCTTTGAGAACAGTAAAAATTATATATTTTTAAAGCATGACAAAACTAAACTGTGGGAAATGAACCAGAGTAAATAATTACTGCTTAACCAGAAATTACATTAGTCTTTCAACAATAAGGAATTCCCCCATGCTCAATGACTACACATGTAAAGCAGGTAGTTACAGCCTCCAATGCAAACAACAGAATGCTGTATGCCTGGAGCATATTCCACATACAGTACCTGGTTCACATAGGGGAGAAGAGATGATCAGGAGCCTAGTTGGAATTTCCACTAATAGAGCAATACAATTATATAGGTGACAGGTAAAGAATGTGGTCTTCTTCAGGGTTTTTGTTTATCTATATTGGATCATTTCTTTGTTCAGCTCCTGTGAAAAGTTACAAAATAAAAAATTCAAGAATTGTAGGTGCCACTTTCAAACCATCGCCATATCCACCACATCTTTTGTTCATAGGGAGAGGAGAATTTATAATAGTAACTTGCCATTTTAAAAATAACAAAAGAAGTAGCCACCTAAACAGATCACCGACCATTTCACCGACCATTTCGAATCCCACCGTACCTTCTCCGCTATGCAATCCGGTTTCCGAGCTGGTCATGGGTGCACTTCAGCCACGCTCAAGGTCCTAAACGATATTAGAACCGCGATCGATAATAGACAGTACTGTGCAGCCGTTTTCATTGACCTGGCCAAGGCTTTCGACTCTGTCAACCACCGCATTCTTATTGGCAGACTAAATAGCCTTGGTTTCTCAAATGACTGCCTCGCCTGGTTCACCAACTACTTCTCAGATAGAGTTCAATGTGTCAAATCGGAGGGCCTGTTGTCTGGACCTATGGCAGTCTCTATGGGGGTGCCACAGGGTTCAATTCTTGGGCTGACTCTTTTCTCTGTGTATATCAATGACGTCGCTCTTGCTGCTGGTGACTCTCAGATCCACCTCTACGCAGACGACACCATTTTGTATACATCTGGCCCTTCATTGGACACTGTGTTAACAAACCTCCAAACGAGCTTCAATGCCATACAACACTCCTTCAGTAGCCTCCAACTGCTCTTAAACACTAGTAAAACTAAATGCATGCTCTTCAACCGAACGCTGCTTGCACCCGCCCACCCGACTAGAATCACTACTCTCGACGGGTCTGACCTAGAGTATGTGGACAACTACAAATATCTAGGTGTCTGGTTAGACTGTAAACTCTCCTTCCAGACTCACATTAAGAATCTCCAATCCAAAGTTAAATCTAGAATCTGTTTCCTATTTCGCAACAAAGCCTCCTTCACTCATGCTGCCAAACATGCCCTCGTAAAACTGACTATCCTACCGATCCTTGACTTCGGCGATGTCATTTACAAAATAGCCTCCAACACTCTACTCAGCAAATTGGATGTAGTCTATCACAGTGCCATCCGTTTTGTCTCCAAAGCCCAATATACTACCCACCACTGTGACCTGTACGCTCTTGTTGGCTGGTCCTCACTACATATTCGTCGCCAAACCCACTGGCTCCAGGCCATCTATAAATCACTGCTAGGCAAATCCCCGCCTTATCTTAGCTCATTGGTCACCATAGCAACACCCACCCGTAGTCTGCGCTCCAGCAGGTATATCTCACTGGTCATCCCCAAAGCCAACACCTCCTTTGGCCGCCATTCCTTCCAGTTCTCTGCTGCCAATGACTGGAACAAATTGCAAAAATCTCTGAAGCTGGAGACACTTATCTCCCTCACTAACTTTAAGCATCAGTTGTCAGAGCACCTTACCGATCACTGCACCTGTACACAGCCCATCTGAAATTAGCCCGCCCAACTACCTCATCCCTATATTGTTATTTATTTTGCTCATTTGTACCCCAGTATTTCTATTTGCACATCATCTCTTGCACATCTATCATTCCAGTGTTAATACTAATTGTAATTATTTTGCACTATAGCCTATTTATTGCCTTACCTCCATAACTTGCTACATTTGCACACACTGTATATATATGTATTTCTGTTGTATTTTTGACTTTGTTTTGTTTTACCCCATATGTAACTCTGTGTTGTTGTTTTTATCGCACTGCTTTGCTTTATCTTGGCCAGGTCGCAGTTGTAAATGAGAACTTGTTCTCAACTGGTTTACCTGGTTAAATAAAGGTGAAATAAATAAACAAACAAAAAAAAAAATCTTACCTGCTACTGAGAATCAGTTGGGGTTTTTCCATTTCAAACGTCCAAAAAAACAAAAAAAAACAACTCAAGATGAAATTCTACATTTGAATCTCTGCAGCAGCTCAGACATCCATGATTGATTCAGTGAGCTGGTAATCTGATAAAGTAGTCTCTACTGGGCCAGGGCCAGGGCCAGGGCCAGGGCTAGGGCCAGGGCTAGGTCTCTCACAGGGGACTTGGCATGGTGGCAGTGTGTTGACCTCATTGCAAAATAGGCTAATGGCATCACTTCCCTCTCAACTGTACCTCATTTCAAACTGTTGTTTTTGAGATTATCTTGAAAATGTGCAATGGTAACTCAAAAAGCCTATGTCATTCCAACCTGGACTCATGGGTAGATATAACACAGTAAATGTAAATCTGTCTCCCTCCATTTAGTAGGATATGTTACGTTTCGTATGTTATGTGGTAATTTGTGGATGTCATTCATCCATTTCATATGATATGTTACGAATTACAATTCGTATGATATGTTATGAATTGCAATTCATACAATATGTTACTAATTTGCAATACATATGATATTTTAGGAATTCCAATTTGTTGTGGCTAATGTTAGCTAGATGGATAACGTTAGCTAGGCTAGGGGTTAGGGTTAGGAGTTAGGTTAAAAGGTTAGGGTTAGGGGAAGGGTTAGCTAAAATGCTAAGTAGTTGCAAAGTAGCTAAAAAGTGGTAAGTATATGCAAAGTTGCTAATTAGCTAAAATGCTAAAATTGTTCATGATGAGATTCGAACACGCAACCTTGGGCTGCTAGACCCCGACAAACCTTCTGTCTTATGTAACCATACCCAGTGGTGGGAAAAGTACCCAATTGTCATACTTGAGTAAAAGTAAAGATACCTTAATAGAAGATGACTCAAGTAAAAGTGAAAGTCACCCAGTAAAACCCTACTTGAGTAAAAAGTATTTGGTTTTAAATATACTTAAGTATCAAAAGTAAAAGTATAAATAATTTCAAATTCTTTATATTAAGCAAACCAGACAGCACCATTAAAAAATATATGTTTTACGGATAGCCAGGGCACACTCCAACACTCAGACATAATTTACAAACAAAGCATGTGTTTAGTGAGTCCTCCAGATCAGAGGCAGTAGGGATGACCAGGGATGTTCTCTTGATAAGTGCGTGAATTAGACAATTTTCCTGTCCTGCTAAGCATTCAAAATGTAGCGAGTACTTTTGGGTGTCCGGGATAATGTATGGAGTAAAAAGTACATAATTTTCTTTAGGAATGTAGTGAAGTAAAAGTAAAAGTTGTCAAAAATATAAATAGTAAAGTACAGTACAGATACCCCAAAAAACTACTTAATTAGTACTTTCAAGTATTTTTGCTTAAGTACTTTACACAACTGACCATACCAAACATAACATATCATACTAATTTCAGTGTCCCGGATTTATGTTTGCTATGTTACGTCTAGTCTATAAGACCAGGCTGGTCATTCAAAACAAGGAAAATTGATCCAGTCATGTCAACCATTTGTGGTTATAAACCAAACTGCTGGAAACCCACTGCTCATATTGTGTTAATTTAAATATACAGTATGAGAAACAGTGAACACAGTAAATTGGTCAGAATTTTTTTTGAATTTGGCTGCCCTCTGTTGGAGGTTGTGGCATCAGCAGGTTCAGCATCATGTGACAGGATACAGACCATCCCCATTTACATTCCAAAATCAAGTCACCACTTTTGGAAAGTTACTGGACATATTGATAGTAACCAGAAAAAAGTAAAGAGAAAAGTGAGCTAGTAGCAACTTGTTAGATCTCCCTTCCCTCAGGACAACTCTAAAGGTCAGAATTACACAAGAATATGCCATGCTTTTGGCGTTTCCCATTAGACTGCTATTAATCTGTCCTGGCAAGAGCAAACAAAATCAGTGTTATGAATGTGTCATGAATTTGACTTCTGCTAAATGTGCCTATACAGACACAATTATAGAACTCAGAGCAATATGTGTGCATATTACAAATAGACTAGTTGATAATAATAATATTAATAATAATAATAATAATAATAATAATAATAATAATAATAATAATATTAATAATCATCATTATTCTCTAATCATTTGTGAGTGTACTTTCTGTAATAAATATTCCCTTCTACATGCTGTAAGGATTTGAATTCATTTTTTTATCCTAAATAATAACTCAAATATATATTTTTAAATCAATTCACTGTTTACATTTATATTTCCATAGAGCATTAAATACATTAGAATAAAGATGAGGGGAAAACTAATGGAATAGATACAGAACAATGACTCCATTAGAGATTGTGCATAAAATGGACAGAGAATAGTCACAGAATGCAACAACATAATAATCAAACTTACATCAAAAGAGAAATCCAATGATATATTTGAGCGACAATAAGCTTTATAATAATAACCACTATTCACAATATCTTACGAAAAAGCTAAAGATGTTTTTCATTTTACCTTTATTTAACTAGGCAAGTCAATTAAGAACAAATTATTATTTACAATGACGGCCTACCAAGAGGCAAAAGGCCTCCTGTGGGGACGGGGGCTGGGAATAAAATGTTTAATGTAGGACAAAACATACATCAAGACAAGAGAGACACTACAACACTACATAAAGAGAGACCTAAGACAACAACACAATATGGCAGCAACACAACATGACAACACAACATGGTAGCAACACAACATAACAACTACACAACATGGTAGCAACACAACATGGCAGCAGCACATGGTAGCAGAACAAACATGGTACAAACATTGTTAGGCACAGACAACAGCACGAAGGGCAAAAAGATAGAGACAACAATACATCATGCGAAAGCAGCCACAAGTGTCAGTAAGTGTCCATGAAAAGGTATTTGAATGTAGAGATGGAGATAAAACTGTCCAGTTTGAGTGTATTTTGCAGCTTGTTCCATTCGCTAGCTGCAGCGAACTGAAAAGAGGAGCAAATGATACAGAGCTATTGTTATAAGATAAAGCTGATCCATCACAATATCTGCACCTTTCCATATTAGCCTTGATAATCCATGCTATGGACTAAAACAGAGGAAATATAAAGCTGTGTGCCGAAGCTACTTCCGCCTCAGCACCACAGAGGGCCAGCCATGGCAGGCCATCAAAAAGCAACTTGTTCCCACTCCACCTGTTCAAAACACTATTAATCTGCTGCCTTCCAATAGAAGGCTTTGACCAGGGAGCCAATAGAAAGACATGAGAGCTGTGAGACCCTGACCAATCCAAAGCAGCATTCTAATGTGGCCTATCTTTATCAAGGTGCCACTCCACTTCAAGATACTGCTTATTTATGACCCCCGAGGAGAGAGCAGGGAGGAGATATTTGTCTTGAGGAGCAACTGTGAACACTCTTCTCAGGTGCCACAACACCTGATGCTAATTTTGGAATTACCACGTACAGTACAATGGCACAAATCAGGTGAAGGAAGAGAGTGAAGAGGTTTTATCCTGGTTCCTGCCCTCTGCTGTCATAGCCAGCTAGAGAGACACCTCTGCAGATACCAGTGACCTGGAGTAATCTGGTCATCAGTTAGGTGACATTGGCATCTACATCATAGCTCATCATTTGAACATCAAAAGACTGGATTAAGAAATAAGAACACAATCAACAAACCTGTATTCATCCAGCTTGGTGAGAGAGGTGAACTTGAACCTTTGTGGGCCACACTGGGTCTTTTCATGACTGGACCTTGTTAGGTGAGTTGGTGAAATCTGGAGGCGGGACCACTTCCCATGGATCCCAACATACCAGGGTCTTTCCTGTTCAACAACAGCCTGAACCAGTTCTCCTCTGACTTAAAGGCACCTGTGTGTCAGTTCTCAGTGTCCAACTCCTTCTACAAGCTCAACCCAGGCCTGAACAGCCAGCTGCAGGCAGCGGGCACAGCCCACGGCATTAGCGACATTCTCAGCCGTTCCATGATGGGCGCTACAGGCACCACCACCCTGCTCTCTGGATACCCTACCATGGGGGGCTTTGGCACTGTGGACCCAGGGGTCTACTACAACCATGCAGACTATAACCCCTCCCTGGGCGGCTTCACTAAGCCTGGCACTGAGTGCTCCATGAAGGGTCGCTGTGGCAGTTGCTGGGCAGAGAGCGGGTGCGAGTGGAGAGGAGGGAGGCAGCAGTGCACAGACAGTGAGTCTAACTCCACACTGTAATCAGCTTAACATCTACCACTCACTAACCATCTGCCTGAGGCATGACATTGGCTCCTATCACTCATCCATGATATTCAGAGAACGGTATTATTAGCTAGATTATCATGTTTTTCTACAAGTTCAAACTAATTAATACATTGTCATTGTGTAAATTACTCTGTAATTACTGTTTAATTCAAAAACAAATATCTTAAAACATTTTAATAACTTAATTTATCTCATTCAAGTTTTGAAATCAAGATTCTGTTAGTTAAAGGTGTAAATATATTGTTGTATAGAGTGTACTGTTGTCTTTGAAATACTCTATGTTAGATATTGTAATCTATAATGTTATTTTATGTGTCATTGTTTAAATACTGATTCATTCACTTGACATACATACGAATATTTGGAACCTGATTACATGCTATATCCAAGTATAATGCTGTGCAAGTCACATAAAACCTTTTAAGATAGCTTTTAATATATAATATATATGTGAAAAAATTATGTATTGAGAAATGTATTGTATCTACTATTATATCTGATCATATCGAATACAACCACCCTAAAAATACAGAAAAATTGGTTGTATCTATGTCCTAAAATGTTATTTTTGTTTATTCATTTTGATTCCTCCAATATAATAATATTTGTATAACATTTTACAGTTAGGAGATTAATATCTATGTCATCATTATTTACCTCTCTATTAGTATGAAGTCTCAAATGACTCAAATTGAAAAAATACTTAACTTTTATGTATACTTTATTTCCAGACAGTGGGCATCTAGGGGATTTGTCAGGCAGGAAGAAGCACACCAGACCTACATTCAGTGGACATCAGATATTTGCCCTGGAGAAAACCTTTGAGCAGACCAAGTACTTGGCCGGGCCAGAGAGAGCTAGACTGGCCTACTCCCTGGGCATGACAGAGTCACAAGTCAAGGTAAAACAGATCTACATGCATGTACTAACAATTCTACACTTTAATCTCAATTGATGTTGTAAAAAATATTACAATATTGTATAATTGAATGTAAGCTGTTTAAGATAAGAAATCCCACTAAATAAATGATTTCATCAGGTGTGGTTCCAGAACCGCCGCACCAAGTGGAGGAAGAAGAGTGCCTCAGAGCCCAGCTCCACCCAGGCCATGCGAGGCGAGCAGGGAGGGGAGACCTCGGAGAACGAGGTGGAGGATGAGGAGTACAACAAGCCTCTGGACCCCGACTCAGACGACGAGAAGATACGACTGCTGCTGCGGAAACACCGCCGGGCTTTCTCTGTACTCCACCTTGGACCACACCACGTCTGACACACTAACACAAGCACACACACAAATCAGATGTGCATGTTGTAGCAAGGGGTATCATTAAACAAATCATTTTGTAGTACAGACCCACAACTTAATATTCAAGCATGTTAAAAAAAAGGCACATTTACAATACAGTACGTTTAAGGGAAAAAAGGCTAATAGTTCACTTGAAGTGATGCCTTGACGTACTGTATTTGTAACCATAATGAAAACAGAGAGATGTTACATATGTAATGATTGGTGAAACAGTTAAATTGAGAATTTAACTTATCAAAGAGTTTCAATTTGGAAACTGGTTTACTGTAATGTGGGAAACCCATCATGATAATCTGTTATAATGGTTGCATCAAACATGAAAGGAAATTGTTTCTAATGTGTACAGACACATTATAGCAGACAAACTGTATAGATGATTTGTAAAGCATTGATAACGCAGTTTACAGTACCTGTTTTATTTGTACAGAATAAACACTCCAGGTCAAGGAATGTATCTTGTTTTATCTAATTAATTTGCTTGTTGTACTCTTAACATTCAATGTCCATTTGAATTTGTTCACAGTCAACTGCTGTACAGTAACTATGAACACAGAATACTTATATAATTAACCTTGATTAATTTAACTTAATTTAATTGAGAGCCTGGCAAGCTTTTTTCACACTGGCGTTGAAGGCACACATATTTCAATATAAGTCTTGACATTTTATTTAGACTAATGTGTTGGCAAGCTTTCATGACATTTGAGGGTTTCTGCGCATCCAAATTAAGTCGCATAAGGATAGTGTAAATTAATTATGAAATTTGAAATTGTACAATAAATTGTGAATTATTTATTGAATGCAATGGTACAATGATTGTGTCATGCCTTGTTTTTTTTGGTAATTGTTTTAAAATAAAAGACAATCCCAAAACAAACAACTAATAGTGCACTGTATCTGACATCAAAACAGGCACTGAAGTCTACATCAGCAATATAGATTACAAGTGACAGTTAAGACAGATCGGCGGTAGGGAATGCACAATCATTGAGGTAGAAGAGATGGCCAATCCCAGTGTGATCTATACAGTTACCAGGGTGCTGAGGCTGAACTGGCTGAACAGTTCTGTGTAGAAGACAAAGACATCAGACTCATCCACGCCATCACAAAAGCAATGCTGCTATTCTATTTCATTCACTAATTGAACATCTCTCACCCCCGGCCCCACCACAGCTCAGCGCTGTTTGTCAGTAGTACAGATGCTAAGGGAGTGTGTGAGGGTGTTCCCAGCACGAAGGAAAATCTGCATTGTGCTTGTTTACAATTATTGTATTGTTGATAGTGAAACATCAACAAGCTGCTAACATCAAGCGTTAGGTCGCTCTACAATCAAGCACTCTCTACATCACCAGATAGAGGATATGTTAACAGAAGCACCATACAGACAACAAACTTTTAGAAATATTCCCAGATGAATACATACTGTATCAGATAACGTTCTACCACTGAAAGTTACATACTGTTAACAGAAGAGACAAGGAAGCTAGGAGAAAAGCTGAAGAGCAACATTGACATCATTGTAGGCATGGTTGGGAAACGAAGCCTGCGATATACAGTACCAGTCAAAAGTTTGGACAAACCTACTCATTCAAGGGTTTTTCTTTATTTTTACTATTTTCTACATTGTAGAATAATAGTGAAGACATCAAAACTATGAAATAACACACATGGAATCACATAGTAACCAAAAATGTGTTAAACAAATCAAACTATATTTTATATTTGAGATTCTTCAAATAGCCACCCTTTGCCTTTATGACAGCTTTGCAAACTCTTGGCATTCTCTCAACCAGCTTCACCTGGAATGCTTTTCCAACAGTCTTGAAGTCTCCCACATATGCTTAGCACTTGTTGGCTGCTTTTCCTTCACTCTGCGGTCCGACTCATCCCAAACCATCTCAATTGGGTTGAGGTCGGGGGATTGTGGAGGCCAGGTGATCTGATGCAGCACTCCATCACTCTCCTTCTTGGTCAAATAGCCCTTACACAGCCTGGAGGTGTGTTGGGTCATTGTCCTGTTGAAAAACAAATTATAGTCCCACTAAGCCCAAACCAGATGGGATGGCTTATCGCTGCAGAATGCTGTGGTAGCCATGCTGGTTAAGTGTGCCTTGAATTCTAAATAAATCAAAGACAGTGTCACCAGCAAAGCACCCCCACACCTCCATGCTTTACGGTGGGAACTACACATGCAGAGATCATCTGTTCAACAACACCGTGTCTCACAAAGACACGGCGGTTGGAACCAAAAATCGCAAATTTGGACTCCAGACCTAATGTCCATTGCTCGTGTTTCTTGGCCCAAGCAGGTCTCTTCTTCTTATTGGTATCCTTTAGTAGTGGTTTATTTACAGCAATTCGACCATGGCGGCCTGATTCACACAGTCCCCTCTGAACAGTTGATGTTGAGATGTGTCTGTGACTTGAAATCTGTGAAGCATTTATTTGGGCTGCAATTTCTGAGGCTGTTTTAGCGACTGCACTTGAAGAAACTTTAAAAGTTTTTGAAATGTTCCGTATTGACTGACCTTCATGTCTTAAAGTAATGATGGACTGTCATTTCTCTTTGCTTATTTGAGCTGTTCTTGCCATAATATGGACTTGGTCTTTTACCAAATAGGGCTATCTTCTGTATACCCCCCCTACTTTGTCACAACACAACTGATTGGCTCAAACGCATTAAGAAGGAAAGAAATTCCACAAATTAACTTTTAAGAAGGCACACCTGTTAATTGAAATGCATTCCAGGTGACTACCTCATGAAGCTGCTTGAGAGAATGCCAAGAGTGTGCAAAGCTGTCATCAAGGCAAAGGGTGGCTATTTGAAGAATTTCAAATATAACATATATTTGGATTTGTTTAACACTTTTTTTGGTTACTACATGATTCCATATGAGTTATTTCATAGTTTTGATGTCTTCGCTATTATTCTACAATGTAAAAAATAGTAAAAATAAAGAAAAACCCTTGAATGAGTAGGTGTGTCCAAACTTTTGACTGGTAGTGTATCTGTCACTGAATCCAGGAATGTCTCAGAACAAACTTAACTTAAACTTAAATAGACTGCATGCAAGTAAAGTATGAATCCAACTGGTGCAATATCCGCTGATGTGATCAGCTGATGCCATCACACTCGGGTTTCCCTTCTGAACTGGCTTCGCTTTATATAAGTGAAAATGAAAAAATTGTTTTCTGAGAATAGCCCAGTTCTGTGATAACTGCGGAAGCAGTTCATAAATGATAGCAATTTTTCAGCATCTAGGCCAGGACAGGCCATTTCCATTGTTTTTGGTGAGCATTATACATTTCAGTTGCTCACTGCAGACTGTAATGTTTCTGCTGATGCTTTTGCCTTTGCACTGAAGATAAATCTCAGACAACGGTATTGGATCAACATTTGTCTTCTTAAATGCAACTCACAATTTCAGTTGGCTTTTTCTTTCTGGAGCCTTAAAGGGTATCGATCGAAAAACTTGGCCTGTTTTGACTGTCCAAAATAGCCATCCCATTCCACCTTGAGGGCACGTTTAATATCCAATATATTTCACACAAAGCCCTATCAATACACTGACCACTTTATTTGTACATTAAAGGTGAACTTGTGTGGTGTGTTGTCTATGGTATGGTATGTTACATTTCAGGTGCATCCAGTTCTGTCTGTAAACACTGGAGTGAAGCAATTCCTAATTAACTTTATCTGAAATCACATGGCAATGTTTGCGTCATGCAGGGCATGTCATTACTGGTGTGACAGAAAGAGAAAGACAAATAGCGATCAGAGTTACCTACCCAGGGCCTCCCGAGTGGCGCAGCGGTCTAAGGCACTGCATCGCAGACCCGGGTTAATTCCCGGGCTGTGCCACAACCAGCCGTGGGGAGAAAAAGGGGGGTAAAATACAAAATAAAACAAAAAAGTTACATACCCAAAGAAAAACACTTGCATGACCCTGCGAGAGGTGCAAGTAGAATGCCAACTGAGAAGAATCAAGCTAGTAGCAATTATGTTGACATTGATTTTACAAGGTACCCACTGGGCACAGAAGTCAATTCAACGTCAATTCCATGTTGGTTCAATGTAATTTCATTGAAATTAGGTGGAAACAACGTTGATTCAACCAGTGTGTGCCCAGTGGGTAGAATCTCATTAAGGGAGAATAATATGGTAATGTAATTGCAGTGGTCAACATTTATTTACAAAACTGGATGCATTACAAGAATGTAGTGTTTTTTAGTGTTCAGCCAGAAAATTTGACAAACAACATTAGTCCATTCCATCTAACAATACTACTGGCTTCATGTTGAACTCTAAACCAAGAGCATTCCCTGGAGGGCATTATAATATGTTGACCATACCACAAATCTAATTGAAGGACATATGAGAGGGTCCAGATTAAAAGGATAATCTATCTATACATTTGAACTAATGAATCCTTGTCATATCAGTCTACAATTACTTCACAGCAGATTGAGTCAGTCAATCAACACATACAACAGAGGAAGATCGATTACAAGTTATGCATTTTCTACCTCAAAATAAGAGTATAACATTTTAATAACTTCATTAATAGGCATTGATATTTTAAGTGCATTCTGAATATCATTGATACAACTATTAATCAATAAGTAATCCATGATTATATTTTAAAAGTCTTTGAATTAGTCCTTATTAAAGCAAAATGATGCAAACTTGCCATCCATTTCATACAAAACAGAGGATGGACAATCTGAAGAGGTTGCTACAGCACAAATAAACATTAAACATAAAAAAGAGACATACTCAATAAAATAACTACAACCAAAATAATACATAGGCGTCAAGCTTCAAATTGTTTGAACTTTGCGTGTGTGTGTGAGCGTGTGTGTGTGAGCGTGTGTGTGCGACTGCGGTATCAGACATCCATTCCTGACACATCCACATTCAAATAAAAGAGTGGTATGGTAAACAAGTTATCATTGATTTGGACTGATCACAGTAACTGAAACATTCCAGAAGATGCTGCCTTGTAAAACAATGGATGGGGAGGAGATGCATGCATTATTAAAAACAGAATAACATTGAGTCAGTTCCCCTGAACATAGAAATCTCTATTAGCACACTCCTCAATTCTCTAAAAAATAAATGAACAAATATTTATGAAACTCTTGGGAGCTATTTTAAAGGACTCAGTCATAGTTTGTGGAATAAAGCACTTAATAGAAACAAGAACATAGCTACCTACCAAAGGCAATACACATCAGAAATGAAAATAGACTACATAATCGTGGTGTCCTTATAAGGGAACAGCAAAATCATCTCATATAAGTGACTGATCTGGCAAGCTTGGTGTCATTCTGTGCTGATATTGTCTGATGTTGAACATTTCCATTTAATTGAGTATTCACAGAAGCTGCAACAGCCATTAGCCACCCATGTCTGCTCTGATGTCCGGTAGAGTAGACTAACCTTACAGTTGAACCATATGTTTGTACATTACGTAGGCCCACCCCATAATATGTCAATGTACAACTCACCAGAGTATACCCAGCAGAGTGTGGTAGCAGGCAGGCAGAGCTGTGATCATCAGTATTCAGCAGCATGTAGATGTTATACTTTAGAGTCTGAGGGAATCCAAGGCAGAGGTCCGATGGGAAGGGAAGGCACATTTCCATATTTCATACTGACCTTATGGGCTCCCAGCCTGAATCTGGCCCCACTGGTCTTTTACAATATTTTATTGATTTAAGCTGAGTTATAACAACACCATTGCGACAGGAGGAGGTTAGGAAAAATGACCTCAGCGTGGCATTAGGGGGCAAATGGAGCGTTTTGTTGGAGTCGACTGTTCCAAGGATGAGCTGGGATAGTATGTATGTACTGGTGAAATGTATGCTTTTAACAAAAGACTACACAACATAAGAATGCACAGAGAAATGTGTATTATGCTACTGCTCTATTCTGACAAACATGCTGACGGTGCATTGAAATCCTGTAGCAGCTTTTGTTTATCGTGTTTGTGAATGTTTGCTTTTAGCATGCTTATATTAATAGTAAACAGTTAAAATAGTTAGAAAATAAATAGGTTTTAAAAAAGACTACTAAAATACAAATGAAAAGCATGCATGAATATTCCATTCAGGAATGTCAGAAGGAATGAAGGTCAATACCTAATCGTAAACCCTTGACACTTGAAAACCGTTTGACTAGCTGAAGTCAGGGTATTTACCTGGCAGGGTGCCAGAGTGTGTGTATGTGTGTGTGTCCTCACGTTTCCTTCCTCCCATTGGGAGAGAGTTGGTCCCTCCCTGACAAGACCACTGCCTAAACATCAGCAGTCCCACAGTCACATAGTCTATGGTCTTTACGTTGGTCCGATTCCATCCAGCAATCTGTCACACATACTCTGGTTCCAATGATCCATCACTGAAGGGAGGACTCCCAGAAAATACCCTGTACGTTTTGGGGTCTGCTTGGCAAGACATATGGCCAAGCACAGCACAGAGCAAATTGTCTGTCAAAAAAAATCCATAATGCTGAAGATCAAATCTGTGGTGATGTCACCCAAGTCACGGCAATCAATAACTTGGAGTGAGAGGAGAAGAGAATGTGAGAGACATGGTTGGGTGGATACTGACTGACTGCATGCACATCAGGAAGAGGCTGGGTCCCGTGACTGGCTAGGAGCTGTTCTGTTTATCCTCTGGTACGGATAGCGGAGTGGGAGTGTATGATGGTGATGGCGAATGTTGGATAGACACTGGCTTAGATAAAGGGAGAAAAGTTACTCTCTTTACCATCCACAAGGAAAACATATAGTAACATCTATGAATTGTTTCAATGTGTAAATGAATGATATAGGATTGCTAAAGGAGTTCCGAAAGAACAAAAGAAGATAAAAGTCAAAATTGGGTGGAATCCTGCTGGATTCATAGATGGGACCAGGATAGCCATGGCAGACCAGAGCATCACATATTATTTGCTTTGGTATGCTGTCCCTCTCATTGAAAAGCTAATTGACAGCCCTAAGTCCTTCCAATGCATGGCTTTTATCACTGTTAGATCCTTCTGAAGAGGAATCCTCATTAAAGAGAAAACCATCATATGAAAAAGTCATAGAAATGGCAGCAAAACAAAATCACAGCCGTAAAAATGCCAATACACTGCCCTGCACAATGAATGTCTCTCTGGATGGCGATCTGTCTGGTAATGAATGAAAAGAGGGCCCACATTGGGCTTGGTGTAGCCACACACAGTGACAGTGGAGAGAATTATATAGACATAGATGGCCCAGCTACATTATGCACAAAGGTGACTGTTTGTCTACAGAGGCAATTTATCTTAGTTAATATCCCCACAGCACTCCACTTGGCCAGCCTGGCCTATGGCTCTCTGGGGAATAAGGCCCGGGAGATGAACAAGATTACGGCCTGTGATCTCTCTTTCAGAGACCCCTGGATATGGTCCTGCACACCTACAGGACATACACTACACACTCACTAGCACATATACTCTTACCACAGAGGGATCCTAGTCAATGGCCATTTGTCTTCAGTGCAAAGGACAAGAAAACAGGCTGGGGGAAAAGGAGGAATACACAATGGTACATAAGTTTAGTCCTGTTTATCAAGGGCCATTTTCAAGATCAGACATGTTACATTTATATATATATTACCAGGTTTGGACACACCTACTCATTCAAGGGTTTTTCTTTATTTTTACTATTTTTTACATTGTAGAATAATAGTGAAGAGGTCAAAACTATGAAATAACACATATGGAATCAAGTAGTAACCAAAAAAGTGTTAAACAAATCAAAATATATTTTATATTTGAGATTCTTCAAATAGCCACCCTTTGCATTGATGACAGCTTTGCACACTCTTGGCATTCTCTCAACCAGCTTCATGAGGTAGTCACCTGGAATGCATTTCAATTAACAGGTGTGCCTTCTTAAAAGTTAATTTGTGGAATTTCATTCCTTCTTAATGCGTTTGAGCCAATCAGTTGTGTTGTGACAAGGTAGGGGTGCTATACAGAAGATAGCCCTATTTGGTAAAATACCAAGTTCATATTATGGCAAAAAAAAGCTCAAATAAGCAAAGAGAAACAAAAGTCCATCATTACTTTAAGACATGAAGGTCAGTCAACTTTGAACGTTTCTTCAAGTGCAGTCGCAAAAACCATAAAGTGCTATGATGAAACTGGCTCTCATGAGGACCGCCACAGGAATGGAAGTCCCAGAGTTACCTCTGCTGCAGAGGATAAGTTCATTAGAGTTACCAGCCTCAGAAATCGCAGCCCAAATAAATACTTCACAGAGTTCACAGACACATCTCAACATCAACTGTTCAGAGGAGACTGCGTGAACCAGGCCTTCATGGTTGAATTGCTGCAAGAAACCACTACTAAAGGACACCAATAAGAAGAAGAGACTTGCTTGGGCCAAGAAACACGAGCAATGGACATTAGACCGGTGGAAATGTGTCCTTTGGTCTGGAGTCCAAATTGGAGATTTTTGGTTCCAACCGCCGTGACTTTGTGAGACACGGTTTGGGTGAACAGATGATCTCCGCACGTGTATTTCCCACCGTAAAGCATAGAGGAGGAGGTGTTATGGTGTGGGGATGCTTTGCTGGTGACACTGTATATGATTTATTTAGAATTCAAGGCACACTTAACCAACATGGCTACCACAGCATTCTGCAGCGATACGCCATCCCATCTGGTTTGGGCTTAGTGGGACTATCATTTGTTTTTCAACAGGACAATGACCCAACACACCTCCAGGCTGTGTAAAGGCTATTTTACCAAGAAGGAGAGTGATGGAGTGCTGCATCAGATACCTGGCATCCACAATCCCCCGACCTCAACCAAATTGAGATGGTCTGGGATGAGTCGGACTGCAGAGTGTAGGAAAACCAGCCAACAAGTGCTCAGCATATGTGGGAACTCCTTCAAGACTGTTGGAAAAGCATTCCAGGTGAAGCTGGTTGAGAGAATGCCAAGAATGTGCAAAGTTGTCATCAAGGCAAAGGGTGGCTATTTGAAGAATCTCAAATATATTTTGATTAGTTTAACACTTTTTTGGTTACTACATGATTCCATATGTGTTATTGCATAGTTTTGATGTCTTCACTATTATTCTACAATGTAGAAAATAGTCAAAATAAAGAAAAACCCTTGAATGAGTAGGTGTTCTAAAACTTTTGACCGGTAGTGTAGATAAAAAGGTTACCTTGTGGTCTCCCATGCAGACATTAGGGCCCAGAGTGTTGTAAACCACACCTCTCTCTCCCTCATCCCTCTGAAATGAAACACATAACTGTTTAATAGGCCTGTAGAACGTGCCTCCATGGTAAATTAATAAATTAATCACGTAGTCAGTAAGTGTGGATGGCAGAGTGTTGCCAGGTGACTCACCCTGTGGATGATGTCTTGGGCAGTGTGAGACATGAGGATACGGTCGCACCAAGAGGGGCAGCGAGTGTTCATGTACTGGGTGGGTTTACTGTAGTCCTCACTGTAGGGGTAACTGACAGACAGACAGACCGACAGCATGGCAGTTAGAGTACACAGTAACATCTTCAGGCAGTAGTAATAGTGACAGTAATAGTGACAGGGCTGTCGGGGATGAGGCTTACCTGGGTGGAAACAGGATGTCTTCCTCTGCAATGACATCTTGAAAGGCTGCAGTCTCCTTGTCATACTTCAAAATCTGAGGGATATAGAAGGATTAACAATTACTGGAGGATCCAAAACGTGTAATCTGCAAACCATAAACATCTGCATAATGTGAATATTCAATTTCACCTAGAATAACTATCTCTGTGGATTTAATTTAATTAATTAATTGAATGAAGTATCTTCTGTGGTTGTTTTCTGTTTATAACTGGTAGCCAAGGCAGTAATCAAATCAAATGTTACTCGTCACATGCTTCGTAAACAACAGGCGTAGACTAACGGGCCCTTCCCAACAATGCAGGGAGAAAGAAAACGGAGAAATAACAGAAAAATAAAACATGTAATAATAGATACACAATGAGTAATGATAACATGGCTATATACACAGGGTACCAGTGGCGAGTCGATGTGCAGGGTTACGATGTAATTGAAGTATACATGTAAATTACATATACAGTAACTAGGAATAAAGTGACAGATAGTAAACAGTAGCAGCAGCTATGCGATGAGACAAAACAAGTTAGTCCACGATCAGCTCCTTTGTCTTGCTGACACTGAGGGAAAGGTTGTTGTCCTGGCACTACACTGCCAGGTCTCTGACCTCCTCCCTATAGGCTGTCTCATCGTCATCGGTGATCAGGCCTACCACCGTCGTGTCGTCGGCAAACTTAATGATGGTGATGGAGTTGTGCGCGGCCACGCAGTCGTGGGTGAACATGGAGTACAGGAGGGGACTAAGCATGCACCCCTGAGGGGCCCCCGTGTTGAGGGTCAGTGTGGCGGATGTGTTGTTGCCCACCCTCACGACCTGGGGGCATCCCGTCAGGAAGTACAGCATCCAATTGCAGACGGAGGTGTTCAGTCCCAGGGTCCTTAGCTTAGTGATGATTATTGTCATGGCAGCGAGCGGTAGCCCATGAGATTAATATGGGTGGGGTGTAAATTAGTGGATGTGTACAGCAGAAAATGTTCTCACCGCTCTGCCATTGTCCTCTCTGAACACTGCCTGGTGCAGGTAGGCAAACATCTTGGTCTCAATATGGAGAAGAATCTTGAGATGAAGGAAGAGGGGATATAGTAAACGTCTGAATCTGAATAACAACAGGGAGACAGTAGGATGGAAGACGTGGATGGATGGGGAGGCTCACCTTGTGGTCATTGTCCTTTTCCTCACAGATGATTTTCTCCACCTCGTTACTGCTGTCCTTCTTCACTGTCTGCACCTCTGCTGAAGTGGACAAGTTCTAGAACACAAACAAACACACCACACAAAGTTAGGTCAACAAAAAGTCAACAGTCAGCTGACCATTAGTAAGGTTTCCTGATCTTCTGATTCTGATGAAATTCTTGAGGAAGTGGGTCATGTAATACCTGGACCAGGCTAAGGGTGTCCAAGCGGAAGTTGAAATCCCCAAACAGGAAGAAGGGGAGTGGAGTGTAGCTGCTCGCTGATATCCTGGAAGGAAATGACAGCGGCATGAGTCAAATGTTTTAGCTAACAAATTGAGTCCTCTACTCTAAAATGATCGTAAACACAGATTTACATGCACTTGCAAACCATCTTGCAGACAACTATTTTTTATCTAGATTCCCAAATGGGCTCAGTGCAAAAGCCTTACAGTATATCTCTCAAGTGGTTGCATTTGAGTTGTTCTCCAAAGCTGAGAATGGGCAGGCTAACCTGTTGATGACATATCTGAGGGCCTTCTGGCGGTTGGCTGAGTAAATGGAGGGACTGGCATTACAGGCAATGAGGTTGGATGCATCATGGAAAAGGTGTACGTTGACTAGGTCCAGACCCCTGCAGAGACCACACACACACACAAAATGAGAAGTGGCAGACATATCTATGAAAAAAGGAAGCATTGGGAAGATATTTGTTTGTCTGTGTGTGCTGTCAGTTATGAAGAGTTTACTAATTAGTGAGTGCACTTGAGGTAATGCTAGTCCACAAACAAACACATTTGTCTTCTGTGCCGAGCATTCACTCCTTTTCTGCTGCTGCCACCTGAAAACAATTAATGTGCATCCAACAGACGGGCTGTGTTGACTCACAGGGTGACCTTGTAGCACTCTGCCCATGGACTCCTTTTGTCTAAGAACCGATGGTAGTGACACAGGAGAGCAAGCAGTAACTATTGTGTAGAGGAAACAGAGGGTGTTTGCTGAGCTTCAGCTTTAACTACTGCAGCAGTATTGAGTAACGGGATGAAAGCTGTCTATTGATGAGCTGTGACAGCAGACAGTATAGTACGTAGAGTAGAGAAGAGTATAGCAGTAGGTCAGTAGACTAGAGCCTTCCAAACGTTTTGCTTCGTGACCCATCAATTGAGGTGTCTTTTAAGTCGCGACCCACCATAAGGGTTGAGTGGTGAAAAAACATACAGACAAAAAAATAAGTAAAGAATATAATATTGGCTGAGGAGAAAATTGTGTCGTTTTAAAGCTACTTTCCTGCAATTCTACATATTTTGCCATGGCTAATGCTGTGTTCTTACGCTTAAACATTAAATCAATGGGGGCCTGATTGTCTAGCTTTTATTTTGTTGATTGTAAGTTCTCAAAGACTCTAGGCTATTATTTTGAAATACAGTGCATTCAGAAAGTATTCAGACCTCTTGACTTTTTCCACTTTGCTACGCTACAGCCTTATTCTAAAATTGATTAAATTGTTTTTTTTTCCCTCATCAATTTACACACAATACCCCATAATGACAAAGCAAAAACAGGTTCTTAGAAAATGTTAACAAATAAAAAACTGAAATATCACATTTAAATAAGTATTCAGACCCTTTACTCAGTACTTTGTTGAAGCACCTTTGGCAGCGATTACAGCCTCGAGTCTTCTTGGGTATGATGCTACAAGCTTGGCACACCTGTATTTGGGGAGTTTCTCCCATTCTTCTCTGCAGATCCTCTCAAGTACTGTCAGGTTGGATGGGGAGCGTCGTTGCACAGCTATTTTCAGGTCTCTCCAGAGATGTTCGATCAGGATCAAGTCCGGGCTCTGGCTGGGCCACTCAAGGACATTCAGAGACTTGTCCCAAAGCCACTTCTGCGTTGTCTTGGCTGTGTGCTTAGGGTTGTTGTCCTGTTCGAAGGTGAACCTTCGCCCCAGTCTGAGGTCCATCAAAGATCTCTCTGTACTTTGCTCCGTTCATCCTTCCCTCGATCCTGACTAGTCTCTTCTCCCCCGATTGCTCAGTTTGGCCAGGCGGCCAGGTCTAGGAAGAGTCTTGGTGGTTCTAAACTTCTTCAATTTAAGAATGATGGAGGCCACTGTGTTCTTGGGGACCTTCAACGCTGCAGAAATTTTTTGGTACCCTTCCCCAGATCTGTGGCTTGACGCAATCCTGTCTCGGAGCTCTACTGACAATTCCTTCGACCTCATGGCTTGGTTTTTGCTCTGACATGCACTGTCAACTGTGGGACCTTATATAGACAGGTGTGTGCCTTTCCAAATCATGTCCAATCAATTGAATTTACCACAGGTGGACTCCAATCAAGTTGTAGAAACATCTCAAGGATGGTCAATGGAAACAGGATGCACCTGAGCTCAATTTCGAGTCTCATAGCAATGGGTCTGAATAATAATAATAATATGCCATCTAGCAGACGCTTTTATCCAAAGCGACTTACAGTCATGCGTCCACACATTTTTACGTATGGGTGGTCCCGGGGATCGAACCCACTACCCTGGCGTTACAAGCGCCACGCTCTACCAATTGAGCTACAGAGGACTTATGTAAATCGGTTATTTCTGTTCTTTATTTTTAATACATTTGCAAAAATGTCTAAAACCATTCTCTTTTCTACGTACTTTCTATTTGGTTTTAGTCGTTTAAGTTTACACTGCAAGAATTTTTCCATTCCGAAAATCTATGTAAAAAATCAATAATAAATAAATTCTATGCACAAAAAAAGGTCAACAAGCGATCCACCTGGACCCCTGCCGCGACCCACAAATGGATCCCGACCCACAGTTTGGGAACCACTGAACTAGAGTACGTACTGGTTGTGAATGATCCACCGGGTCCTCATGAAGCCCTTCCTAGACCATTTGAACTGCAAAACACATCACAAACAAAAAGTTATACAGATGAATGTTTTGTATGTTAAATGTTCACCAAATACCACCATTTAGCTAACTAATTGGAGGGCCATGCTGGTAATTATTAATTATTCCATACAATGTGTCTCATATCCCTGTCAGATAGACTCCCCCTTTAGCCCCCTATACACATATTTGTTCCAACACCCCATCCCCCTCCCCCCCAACACCACACCACACACTCACATCGGGCCAGAAATTCTTCGGGAATTTTTCTTTCTCCACTGTGGTTGCTCCATCCAGGGAGCCCACATACTTGTTCTGTCCAGACACTGCTTTAAAAGCCTTAACTGTGAGGGGGAGAGAGGCGTGGAAGGGTAAAATAGTGAGAAAACATGCAAACACTAATCAATAAAGTGATGTTAAGCTCATCACAGCAGCATACGTGATCAGAGGATCTATAATAAGGCCATTAGGCAGTGTTTGGTGGCAGTGCACCAATCTGACTGGTGACACAGAACATCGCAGGCCTGGGATGTTTATGACTCTTCCATAAGCCTTTTCTGAAGAGCTTTTTCATGCCTAACGTGACTGGACTATGCAACAAGAAAATAACACATCCCACTTTCAATTCAGATTCCCTGATATGTCTAGCCAAAAGAGGTGGCCATCACACTGCAGTGTTCAAAAGATGATCCGACTTATTAGATACTTTGTATCAAAATACACAGACATGAATCTCCAGACTGACTTACAAAATTGCTCTTACCTCCTAAACGGTTTTGTGCCAAACTCTAAATATATTATAATAATGATCTATCACAAAGGGCCAAGTTCGCACACCAGGACTGATACACGTTCTGAAATTATCGCCACGTGCAGGGCCTGAATGGAAGTGATCTATCATAAAGCGATAACAAAATGTCATTAATCTTTTGTTATTCAAAGTCAATAATGATGTCATATAGATATGATTGTAATGTTCTTACCATTAAAATCATATTGGTAGATGTTTTTCAATGACTTGTGGATGAAGTACATGCTTCCGAGGGCCTGTAAGGACAAAGAATACAATACAAGCTCCTTTAAACAATTGCTGAGAATGTCAGTTTGCTGCAGTGATGATGAAGTATAGAGACATTATCAAGCTCTATCATGTTCCAATATTGCATTCTTCCAGAAATACCTTCCACAGACTTCCCTTAAAGTTTGGTTCGGTGCAAAATATCAACATCATAATTTCTTGCGAAACAGCTTTATCAACTTCAACATGCTCAAGAGACATGCTAGGTCACCCTGGTCCGATACAGCACTCAGGCTTCACTGGAAACCTACGGTCATAATGACTTAAAGAAACAACTTAACGTCTGATTCATCAATGAGTATCATCCAACATGATCTGATTCCATAGTATTTACATCATTATCATCATTAACCATCCCAATCTTCAGTAGTTCTAGCCTCCTTTCACACACACAACCACACACCCACCCAGTCTCTCAATCCTTCCCTCTTTCAAGCAATTATATTATGCTCAACTCACTCTTCTCCACAGAAACACATAGCTTTACTGCAATAACATGTACACAATACACTATCAAACGTGCACACACCACACACACACTTTAGCACCCAATCATGATGTGACCATTTTTAATGTACTAACTGCCTTCTCTGATTAATCATGCCTTCTGAGATCAATAAAGACAGAAAATTAAAACAATTGAAAAGGTATTAAACATTAGGGCTGCCGTCTGCTGCCATGCCGGCTGCGGGCCGAAGAAAAATCTGGCAGCACCCAGAGGGTCTCCGGCGTGACGGCCTGCTCTATCCCCCCTCCCCTTCTGCCCAGGCATGAGAGATCGCTCCCTGAGGAGACCATTCATCTTCACTGCCAGAGCGATCCTCATTTAATGGGACGGAGCTGTCCCTATTACGACCAGCCAGGGTGACCAGCGATTAGGGACGGACCTGTCCAAGTTGGGGGAGGAGGGGAGGGGGGTTAGAGGAGACACGGTCTAAACTGACGGTTTCGCAAGTTAGATCGAACATCGGCTGACTTCAGCTGAATCCCTAACCTGAGTTATAGCATTTATTAAATCAATTCAAATGGGATTTTGCTTAAGCATTAGCTCAGTTTGGAAGAAAACATGGTGGCAGGTTTGAGTGTTTACCGACTAATAAACATTGTCTAATGTCTATATAGTGACGTTATCAATAGCAATAAAAAATTTGGGGGACATTCTTAAAACCGTAAAACTATTTTATGACTCTAGAAGTCTGCTGTCTTTTTTTTTTTAAACACATACACACACAGAAAGGTTCTCCTCCACATACTCTGCCAAGGACCCATCTTCATCAATCAGGTTTGTGCACAGTTTAATAAAAAACTATTGACTTACAAGTGATTTTTTATCAAAACACCATTTATACAGGGAATGCGTGCATGCCTGCCCCCCTCCTCACAACCCCTCTGAACACAGAAACCACCCCTCCCCCACCAACCTTTTCTGGTCAGGGAGTTGATGATCCACAGCCGAGGGGAAACAAATTGAAAATCAATGCGGGTGGCACAGGCGAAATGAGAATGTGGCATTGGGGGCTGCAGCCCTAGTAGGGCGGCGGGGGGGCGGGGGGGCACAAACACCCAAGCACAGGGGAAACATAGTCCCAGATGTCCGCCACTCCCCTCAGCCCTTATTTATTGTTTACAAATGGGCTGTGATCAATAGTTTTAATCTAGAGTTACATTTATTGACTTTGGCCTGTCTCCCCACACCTGGACGTTGACGTTCCCCTCCACTTCACACACCTCCAAGTGTAGACAGATCCATTGACCCCCACTGTCAGGGCTCCAGTGTTGGGGTCTAGCTTGGGTGGGGTTAGGGTTAATCCTGTGCCACTCTGCACATGATGGGGATGGACCCTCCCAAGATTGGATTTAAGCAACAACTAGGCCTATGTGTTGTGTTGACCAGCCCATTTATGAACCAGGCTCTGATATGACATGGCTCATTTAGAACTAAGGTGGCTCATAACAAGCAACACTGGCAAATAGTCCTTATTTCAGGTACAGAGGCCATTAGAGAGGAGGCTGAAGATGGAGCTGGTCTCGGAGCTGGAATGACAGGTGTGGAGATTGAGACAGTGTCCATGACCCAGACAGCCTCCTGACAACTCTATAATGACAGTTTAGTGCTGCACAGACACACAGACGTATATATTGTAGTTACATAAAGAGAGAGTTGGGGGGCCAGAGGATAGATGAGGATATAAGACCAGTGTAGCTCAGTTGGTAGAGCATGGTGCTTGCAACGCCAGGGTTGTGGGTTCGTTTCCCACGGGGGGCCAGTATGAAAAATGTATGCACTCACTAACTAAGTCGCTCTGGATAAGAGCATCTGCTAAATGACTAAAATGTTGAAGTTTGGTCCTCTTATTATACTGTACTATTGAGAAAAGCGTGTCACAACATGGATACATGCACTTTTTCAGGTCAAATTGTTTGCTACCCTGTCTTTGAGATGAAACAATAATTTAAAGCCTCACCCTTTGGTCATGTTAAACACAGTGTATTAGGTATACTTAAATGTCATATTATTAAAATAAAACAAAAAAGCATTATCGACCATAACCTGTACAGAATGGATGTCATCCTGAACATAGCATTTTGTATTGGAGAGCAGAACATGTAAATGTATCATGTGTATGTACAGTGCCATGTATTTGTAATGTTCTATTATGCAATATTTACCAAAGAATTCCTGTTTCTCAGTCTAAAAATACCCAACTGAGCATTGATGAGAAGCCCTGGCCCTCATTGGCGCTGTACTGTGGAGCAGGGCCCCACCTTGTGGTCACAGAGACACACTGCTGTCTGAACAAAGTGGGGTCCGCAGAGGTACTGCAGGGTCCACGGCCAGATCTCAAAATATTAATACAAAAATATCTGATGCCAAGTGGGGGGCTTTAATATGTTATTTCCTAGGGCCCGAGACTTGATTAGTCCAACCATGCACTGCGGAAGTCATAGTAAAACTGCAGGAAATGCTATTTTTATCGCACTCTAAAGTAGGAGTTGTGTTCTGATATTATGAGGGGTCCTTGATGAATTTGCTATCACAAAAGGGGTCGCCTATGCAAAAAATGTTGGGAACCACTGCTGTAGGAGATACTAGCTCTTCTAAAGGCAAAGACACCAATGGTAACTCTTGTAAGGGCTTCTACAACATTTTATTGTTTTACCTAAGCCTCCTGTCCATCAAGCTCCACTATTGGGCATTATATCGATATTATCAACTGAGCTAGTGTAACCTACAGACCAGATATGGTTGTTATAGAGAGATTATTTCAGTTAAACTTCAGTCAGTTGATCAGTGCAGTCCTGTAGTACTCACCGTGAAGCTGTCCACGTTCTTAAAGTGGTTGTCCACATAGATGCAGACCCTGTCAAAGTCCCTCATCTCCTCACTGGACTCAATGTTCCTAAAGACCAGAAGAGGATAAGCTGAACAACTCAAAAACTGTCTCTAACACTGTACACTTATATTTGGATACTCTCTTATATAGGTAATGGCAGTTGATGTCCCGAGGTTATGATAACATTATACAGTCCTTGACACAGATTTCATGACCCATTTTTTCACAGTTAAAAACCATGATGAATCATGAAGTTATACTGTATCTGTTGGTCATAAAACTAAGGAGTCTGGGCAGCATTTGTGGATACTTTTGAAAGTGTCCCATAGAGAGTTTGGCACAGTGATGTCTTACCAGAAGAAGTTCTCTGCATGGCCCATATTGATCATGTAGTCCTTGCCTCCAACCTCCTGGAAGTGCAGGGCGATGAAGCGTGGTTTGTGACTCTGGACAGTCTGTGACAAGACAGAGACATCAGGCAGGCCGTTAATCTACCACAATCATGTGCCATAATGGTGGTAAAATGTGGGGCAACCTACTGAATTCTGGTAATTAAATGTTATTTCTTAAGATGACATACAACTTTGTCATTTTACTATGCATAATGTGTTGGCTAAATAGTGGAAAGTGTCTTCTTCACCTCTTTGGGAATGGAGACAATATCTAATCGATTTATAAGTCCACCATCCAGGAGGGTTCATGGTTCAGTCTCAACATGAGAGGATGGCTTAAGGTGTTTACATTTCAACAGTAAAAAGCTGAAATGGAGTAACAGTAAGGAAGAGTCGCAGGGGGAAAAAACTAATTTGAGGATCCATTCTATCTATAGTGGACACCTGAGAGGGATCCCAAACTCACCCCAAAGAATTCTCGAAGCCAGTCACTCTCAATCTCACCCACCTGTGGGTTGAAAAAAAACGTTTCAATTCACACATGGTTTCTACCACCTACAGTTGAGACATTCAAAACAAAGGGCATAAACAGAAAGGCTTAAATGAGATCCTAGGGTGTCCAATCAACCCTGCAGGCACCTTTCCCATACACTGACCAAAGGCCATGTTTAATTATATATTAGCACTTGACAGTGGAAGATATAAAACATGCATGAGGCAGGCAGATAAGCACAACATGACAGTCTTGTCAAATGTTTTGGTAGGACATACAGTAAGGTTTACGCAGATAAACACCCACACAACAACAGGTAAAATTATATGTTTAAACACTTTACCTAAGCAAAACACAAACGTCCCTCTGGAATGGTTGTAATATGTTTATTACATTTGCAATTCAGACAACACCCATCCCTGGAATCCCTATCTCTGGAACCTCTGTTATTTAAGTGGCATAAAGAATCAGAATAATCTTTAACATTATTAGCAAGCCTGCCTGTTGATGTATACACCGTATCAATGTGAGATTGAATTAACATAGTAATGTGTCCTTCCATTTTGTTTAATATCTGTTCTTCAACGAAAGATTTCCAGGGAACCTCTGTGAGCTACTGAGTATCCAGAGTATTGTGTGTGTTCGTGTTTCCTCCAGTGCCAGGCCAGAATACAGACTGTGCTGTCTTCTCCAGGGCCAGCCGGATGCAGGACAATCTGCCAGAGGAGTAGCAGCACAGCAGTGGCTTTGCATAGTGCATTTGCATGGCCCAATGAATGCTGCTGCCCACCAATGCCTGTCTGCCCAGGCACTGTGGCCTGACGGGAGAGCAGCTCATCCATAATACAGGTGTCTGACTGAAGAAGCCCAACTGCATGTGTCCTGTACCGTCTTTGCCCAACAAACCTCATCCATAAAAACAGCATGATTAGCCCTTAAACAGATGCTGAGACGCCATTTTATTTGCAAAGGTTTTTAAACATGGTAACCTGCTGTTTCCTTATGCTGATCCAAACACCATGGTAACCCAAATGAATTTACACAATGCTCTTTAAAGGGTAGAGAACGCCAAGATAAATGTCGATCTAACATTGATGACTGTTAATGGTAATTATATTATTTCCATGCTATTGTTACGTTCCCCAGCAAGAAAACCAAAAATGTAGCTCAAACATAAAGGGGAACTAACAAAGAGTCACTGACCAACAACCAAAACGAAAAGGCAGGGGCTTTAGGAGGGGTTCTGAAAGACACTCATGGAGGTGTCCACTGAAAGTTGACTAGCAACAACAACTAGAAGCTAAAAGACACCCACCATGACCGCCCACTAAATTTGCCCAAGAAGAGGCAGACAAAAAGAAAAACCCACACCAAACTTAAAGACAGGAAGCAAAGCAAAAAGGTGGTGCAAAATGTATGTTTTTCTAGAACTCAAATAGGGAGAGCCAACTAAAGGTGTTGACCCTCCACATCTCTCAAGACAACTGGAGCACTGGGCCAGCCACTCTTAAATAGCACCTGGGCCAGCACAGGTGAAACATCTTCCCACTAACGAGATGGCAACCAGCACAGGTATAACACATACTGACTAACGAGGTGACACCAATCGATGCGCCCTACGTGCTAACGAGCTATACGTGCCAAAGTCCAACCTCAAAACATAAATGTAAAAACCAAATCCTGTAACAGCTTGGACCTTACCTTTATACTGTGCCACAGGTGATGTTTGTTGACAGAGGTAATAAGATCAGGCATGTTTAATACCAGAAGCCTGGAACTGAGACTGAAACATATCATACAGCGCATCCGGAAAGGAAAGTATTCAGACCCCTTGACTTTTTCCACATTTTGTTACGTTACAGCCTTATTCCCTCATCAATCTACACACAATACCCCATAATGACAAAGCAAAAACAGGTTTTTAGATTTTTTTGCAAATGTCTTAATAAAAAACAGAAATATCACATTCACATAAGTATTCAGACCCTTTTCTCAGTACTTTGTTGAAGCACCTTTGGCAGCGATTACAGCCTCGAGTCTTCTTGGGTATGACGCTACAAGCTTGGCACACCGGTATTTGGGGAGTTTCTCCCATTCTTCTCTGCAGATCCTCTCATGCTCTGTCAGGTTGGATGGATGGGGAGCGTCGCTGCACAGCTATTTTCAGGTCTCTCCAGAGATGTTCAATCGGGTTCAAGTCCGGGCTCTGGCTGGGCCACTCAAGGACATTCAAAGACTTGTCCCGAAGCGACTCCTGCGTTGTCTTGGCTGTGTGGTTAGGGTCGTTGTCCTGTTGGAAGGTGACCATTCGCCCCAGTCTGAGGTCCTGAGAGCACTGGAGCAGGTTTTCATCAAGGATCGCTCTGTACTTTGCTCCGTTCATCTTTCCCTCGATCCTGACTAGTCTCCCAGTCCCTGCCGCTGAAAACTCCCCCACAGCATAATGCTGCCACCACCACCGTAGGGATGGTGCCAGGTTTCCTCCAGACATTGGCATTCAGGCCAAAGAGTTCAATCTTGTTTCTCATGGTCTGAGAGTCTTTAGGTGCATTTTGGCAAATTCCAAGTGGGCTGTCATGTGCCTTTTACTGAGGAGTGGCTTCCGTCTGGCCACTCTACCATAAAGGCCTGATTGGTGGAGTGCTGCAGAGATGGTTGTCCTTCAGGAAGTTCTCCCATCTCCACAGAGGACCTCTGGAGCTCTGTCAGAGTGACCAAGGCCCTTCTCCCCTGATTGATGAGTAACATTTTTTATTTAATCAATTTTAGAATAAGGCTGTACATGTCCTGTACCACCATCACTCTCTGTTCCATCATGCCCTCTAACGAAAATTAGGCCTAACAATTCTAAACCTAGAGATGATTTGCACTGTTCTCTCCTGGTGACCTTTTTGTGCATTGATCTAGAAGTATAGCCCTATAATAGCAAACCTGGATTTCCATGTTTCTCATGTAAATATGCCTACAAGACTACTAGTCTCTGGCGAGACTAAAGGCCCTAAAATGTGAGGCCAGCTGAAAGCATAACCTTTTCTCCATGTTTGGAAGGGTTTGTTTAAACGTATTAGGCAGCCATATAAGAAGAAAAGTATGAAGAACACCCTGGGAAGATAATCATCTGTTTACAGATGTCTTGAACCCACAATGGGATCTGACATGTTTTCAACTGGGCCAGATAGGGAAACCGGAAACATGGTCCTGAGCCAAATTTCCATGAGTGTATCCCCCCTCCCCCTCAGTCACAATGACAACCAAGCCCCGATTTCCCAGACACCACAGCACAAAACTAAAGACCAATGCACTGGTGTTTGCATTTTTCATCATATCACAACCACTTAAGGTAGGTCTACTCATATGTTATTGATTTCATCCTGTTATTACCACATATACAAATTACTAAATCATCAAGGCAACTGTCTCCATGATCTCAACTCACAATACACATCATGTGACTAATAAGGTTGTGGCAGTGGGGTTTCTGGTAGCCTATCATTATCAGTGTGCCAGTTGGGAAGGTATCGGAGATGTTAAAGATCATAAAGATAGGTACAGGTAAAGCTATATATTACAGGTAAGTGTGAACAAGGGTTCATGGTGCCTAGGAGCAGAGTATGTGGAGAAAAAAATCTTCCAGCTTAGTAGCCTAACTCTAGATCATTACCCACCATAAGATTCAGCGTAGCCCCCACTGGCAGTTAGTGTTCCCAACACTAGCCTCTTGAAATATTTTACCAGATTTAATGGAAAATTACAATTAATTAAAAGAAAAGAAGCTGACTTGTTTATTTTGTGCAAACGTTTCAGCCTCACAGCCTTTGTCACGGCCTTCCTCAGAATGAAATGAAATAAGTAAATGCACAATGTTGTCTAGGGCCATGAGGTAATTGCTTTACGTAGCCAGCAGATCCGACCAGCTTGCTTACAGCTGCACTAGGGTCGGACAGCATTCCTGTGTAGATTAACACACCATGGAGCCGGCGGGAGATGTAGCTCGGAAAACATACCTTAATCAAGGGATGAGAAATGCGTTCCAAATGCCTGCTGTGGCTTCTGCTACCTAGCATGGGACAGTTTTCTGGAAAAACTAGCAGTCATTCAATCTTCAATTGGAATAATGGGACAATTCTGAGTACAACGCATTTCTGATCCATGGATTGAGGTATGTTTTCCAAGCCATATCTTGCGCTGGCTCCGCTGTGTTTTAATCTACACAGGAATGCTGTCCGACCATGTAAGCAAGCGGGTCAGCCCCAGGACTGAGTTTGGGAAAACCTGCTTTAGGCTACTCAGCATAATGTGAGTTGTTATTGTGCAGCAAAATTAGGCTATTTAAAATTACACCCAAGTATGGGCAATTCCATGCTGACCATGATCATAGCTTATTTCAGTCATCATGTGTAAAATACTTATGCAGTAACTAACACTGTAGGCCTACTGTGGTACCAGCATTGTTTTGATATGTTGTTACACTGTAATAACTAATAACAGGTGTTAGGCCAACAGTATTGAAACAATATAGGCTATAGGCATACAAATCTAATTGCCAACAATGTAGCCTAGGCTACAAATTATATTAAATCACTTGTTTGTGCAGTAGCAGAGCGGGAGCTTGGTGAATAATAAAAAGTTGCGAACTGCACTTTCGCGGCAATAACTTTAAACGTGTCCTTGTTGCACGCCATCAATTTCCTGTTTGATTTGAACTGGGACCCGTTGTTGCTTGATAGGTAGTTTCTCTCCGCGAATCTGTCAATATGCTGTGAGAACACGCACGCGCCTCAATAATCATGCCGCAACAGCTCACGATAAATACGGTAGAGGATAACTATAGACAGAGGACTTGCAGTTGTATAGGCCCATCGAAGTGAAAACAATGTGTCGTCAGAAGCAACAATAACATTAAACAAGTGACTTCAAAGTTATGGTCCACATATCGATTGAGAAGAAAGCATTTAGACTACAGAAATCATGGTTGTCATGATTAAATGTAATTGTCTAAGGAAGTAGCTTAATGTTGAAAAATACCTTATTTTATAGGGCCTATAATAATCAAATTAAATATTGGATTGGATTGCCCGATGCCAGCCTGTGCGAGTTGAACTTGTCTCCATTCGAATGTCGTTAGCTACAATGTTATAGGTAGTAGAATTTGGTCTTGTAACGGTTCTGGTGTTCTCTGGCAGGTGTAGCAACTGCTTACATAGGAATATCGCTGTTCTACTTGGAAAATTTGATTCACCATTCAAAGTTACTTAAAACAGGATATAGTTAGGTGAAAAATGGAGTTAATACTTACATTGTCGAATAATGAGCCAACATTTGCGGTGACAAGTAGAACGTCAGTGTACGTTTCCATGATTACGATCGAATTCCAGAAATAGTCTGCAGGAAGAACTCTTGGTAAAATGTTGTACGTGTGTTAGCTACAAACAGTTTACTGATACGGTGGTGTAGTGTATAGGTCTCTATAACCTGCCCTGAAGAAGTCGGTCGTATAATTAATTAATCCTGATCATTTATTTCGGCTCTTCTAACTTGCCCGCTTTTTGTTGATGGCGGGTGTTGTTTGCCGTCTTGATTCTATATCCTTGAGAAGGAGCTATGTCCCATGTCTGCTGAGAAATGGCAGAGCAGGCAGGAAAGGATTTGTATATCTCTTCATGGTAATTGGACTAGGTTCTTAACCGATTTAAACCTGGAACGGTGCATGTGCTGCCTGCGCCAGAACAGTTCGTCCTGCCCCGCGCGACCAGATCTTGTTGTCAATGTTGTGTCATGAACTCCGGAGCTCCGCCCACGGTGCTCAGTTTTTTTCCCCCCGGTATTTCTATTTAATTTTACAAATAAACCTACCTCTTACTATGAAAAACCACAGGCGCCTAATCCAGACCTCAAAACATCCAAACTCCGAAAAATATAGGCTAGTAGCATTTATATACAGTCCATGGTTGTGTAGCCAACTAGAGGTTATACCTTCTAATTATAGCCCACATCTCTGTGACTAGTCTGAGACTGGGGGGAAATGATTATGAATGGTTGGGCCTGAAAGCTGTTGGCCTGTCAAATACCAGATATTAGGCTACTTCACAAATAATAGAACATAAACTACATATATTTTTTTTAAATACATGTAGCCTATTCATTTATATAGAGATTGTGTATCATGTTCAATCTGTTATTGTCAGTGGGCTGGCAACAGTTTGCTCTAGGCAAAATGTTCAAAGAACACAAGAAAAAGACCAGGCACAGTTCTGATTAACTACTCCATCAAGCTCAGACACTGCTGTTGTAAAACATAACTGGTTGACTCATTTCAATGATGGAAACAAAAGAGCAGTGTGGTGTGATTTAATTGGATTGACCCCATCTCACCATCCTTTATTCGTGACCTGCTCCATTTGGAGTGTGCCCACCACTCTGTCACCATACTTGACAAGACAGAAATATGTTTTACACTATGCTATGATCTTTGAGCAGACACTACATTGATAGTTCTGCACTAGAACAGCCACATCTTTAGTGATACACTGATATTGTGAAAGATCATAATTCTGACTCCACACTCAGCTTTTCACTGACCTCACAGCTTACTATGTTACTTGATAACAGGACAAACTACACACCACTTATGGTGAGCTGTTGAAAAATCAGGTCAGACCTTATTTTATAGTAAATACTTAATTTAACTGTAAAAATGTAATACATTTTAATGACACTGTCTTGATGTTTTCATCTGTGTCAAACAAATTCCTTCAAACAGTAGGTTACCTTCACACATTCATCCAAAATAATTCTAGCATCCCATGAATCCAGCACCCCAACAGCCACTTCAATTTGCAAGTGGCTGAAACTCTCTCACCAGAAAAAGCATCCGAGCGAGCGAAACAGCACCCCTCTGTCTCTCTATGTAATTTATATGTAGCCCATGTATCTGATGCTGTCTGGCCAAAAGGAGTATGACATGCCTTACTCTTTTTGGCCAGACAGCATCGGATATATGGGCTACATATACATGTCCTCTGCCCCAATGACGATGGCAGTATTATCAGCAGCACCTGTCTTTTTACTAAATGCATTAGGTCATTTTTAATCTTTATTTTTGCTTACTTGTTTCTACTATTATGAGAAAAACTTGGATTGTATTAATATTGATATGAAATATATGTATATGTAAGGAAATAAATAATTGATCTATTATGAATTATTATTCAGCTGTATGGATTCATTTACTTTTTTGGAGGCCTTTTGTGTCAACAATGTGGCCTCATTAACCTGGGTACAGCGCCCAGGCAAAACCCCCCTCCCTCCCCATTTCCTTTGCAACTTTGAAGCTTCTTGCAGATTTAGCTGCTGCTGAGAAATAATAAAATTATTACTAGTATTATTTCTTATTATGCCCAGCTCACGAGACCCCTTTGATACAAGGCCTGAGGCAATTGCCTCTTCTGCCTAATGGTATGCCCGCCACTGTCCTTACCATGTCATTTGCTTCCAAGGCGGGTTGCAACCATTATTTTGGTCTTGAACTAGCCTCAGTCTGAATCTGCATTGAAAGAGTAAAGATAGTTCAGAGTAAAGCACAGAAAGGGGGCAGAGGCCCAAGACCCTCAATATTGCTTGCTGCGAGTTGCTAAACCATGGCATGGTTTACACAACCAACCTTTCAGGTTTGCACACTGCTTCCCATTGCTCCTCTGCACATTGTGTGCTTTGTCCAGCCTTGTCAATACATTTATTTGAAGCCAGGCAGAGCATTATGTTGCCCTGTCCATCAGCAGTGTAAACAATGCCACCTAAAAGGGAAATTCCCCTGAAAGGCTACTGAGGCAGTTCCTCACTGTTGGGATGCAGGCTGGGTACTCAGTAAAATTACTGGCAATAGTTTACCCTGGCTGAAAGGAGTCCTGGCTGAACAACACATACCTGAGTGCATGGTCAGATATAGAATATATAACCCTCAAAAGGAAGGTTTTCAACCCTCACAACTTACACTGCACTACTGGCCCACAGCACTATAAATGAATTAACAGTAGGTAGGCACTCTGCCCGCAGTGGACAACTGGGCACATAATATTGTTCAGTAAGCCAAGGGTTAGCACAACCCCATCAACCATTCAGATCCCCACAAAAAAAGTATTTATTCAACCCAATCAACCATTATTAAAGCAACACACCCTCACCCGGCCAGCAGGCCCAATGCTGGCAACCTTCCTTACTGGAATGCCAACTTCATGGTTTGAATGTTGATGGAATGCTGATTCTTAGGGGTTCCAGAGGTCACAAAGGCCACTCTTTTCAACAAGCCTATCCAAGTGTTTTCATGTAACACACAATTGGCAAACTGGACTGCATCCTCTCCTTCTTGCTTAGAAAGGAAGACACAGATCATAGATGAAGACCACACACAAAAGGGGACTTGGCTCCCTGAGTATTAGACATGTTCTGGAAAGGGTCTCATTGAACATACTGTATGAAGGAACACCAAATATCCCATCAATAACACACCAAGCAAAAGCGGTCAGGCAGCCAACAAAATATTGAAAGGAACCTGGTACAGGATAAAAGGTACGGTCAACTAACCCACACCTGGCAACCTTCCTTAACTGAACGCAAGCTTCATGCTTTGAATGCTGATGGAATCCTTCTTTTTATGGGTTCCAGAGTTCACCAAGGCCACTCTTTCCAACAAGCCAAGTGTGATTTATTGTATACTAATTAGTACTGAAAAGAATGGCTTGCATTGACAGAGCTCTTAGCTCATTTTACATAAATTAAACTTGCACAAGTTTGCGGTCTTCATCCTTGGGTTTTTATTGGTCAATATTGGACAGATTTGATCTAAAAGTATATACCCTTGGTACAGCAATGTATAAAGGGGTGAGAGAACCAAACAGGAGTTTGAGGAAGGCGATGGCCAGGGATTTCCACTAGGCTTGCACTGCAGCCTAGCAGGGAATCAGTCTAACTCTTCAGCTGCACTTTAATTCTCTCCTTCAGGCCCCCTCACTTTCTGGAGTGTATTTGGCATGATAATTCCCACAGTAGATGATGAGAAGCCTTCATGGAAGTATTAATAGATTCAGCAGCTAGGGAACAAGGCATATCTTTCACATCCATGGCCCGGTATGATATCACGTTTTAACAATGTTACAACAAAGAATTAGTAAGTAAACAAATTAAAAGCACACAATGCTGCTTAAACCACAGCTATCGTGAGGTGTCGATGGCAGTGGCCTCAGTCTTTACACAGCTCAGAAAGTAGCTTCACGGTAGATAAGGGTGGGAGGCAGAAGTAAGTGTTAATTGAGATTATGTAGGCAAGTTCATTTCAAAACCCCATCAGTCACTGAGAATGTACATTCTTCACAACAGAAAGAAAATAAAACCCAAGCTCTACTTTAACATAACTCCTATATATTACACATGAATACAATGCTTAAAGGCCCAGTGCAGTTCAAAATGTGATTTTCCTGTGTTCTATATAGAGTGCCTTGCAAAAATATTAATTCCCCTTGGTGTTTTTCCTATTTTGTTGCATTACAACCTGTAATTTAAATTGATTTTTATTTGGATTTCATGTAATGGACATACACAAAATAGTCCAAATTGGTGAAGTGAAATTAAAAAAATAACGTTTCAAAAGATAATACAAAATTAATATCGCAAAAGTGGTGCGTGCATATGTATTCACCCCCTTTGCTATGAAGCCCCTAAATAAGATCTGGTGCAACCAATTACCTTCAGAAGTCTCATAATTAGTTAAATAAAGTCCACCTGTGCGCAATCTAAGTGTCACATGATCTGTCCCATGATCTCAGTATACAGTGAGGGAAAAAAGCATTTGATCCCCTGCTGATTTTGTACGTTTGCCCACTGACAAAGACATGATCAGTCTATAATTTTAATGGTAGGTTTATTTGAACAGTGAGAGACAGAATAACAACAACAAAAATCCAGAAAAACGCATGTCAAAAATGTTATAAATTGATTTGCATTTTAATGAGGGAAATAAGTATTTGACCCCCTCTCAATCATAAAGATTTCTGGCTCGCAGGTGTCTTTTATACAGGTAACAAGCTGAGATTAGGAGCACACTCTTAAAGGGAGTGCTCCTAATCTCAGTTTGTTACCTGTATAAAAGACACCTGTCCACAGAAGCAATCAATCAATCAGATTCCAAACTCTCCAACATGGCCAAGACCAAAGAGCTCTCCAAGGATGTCAGGGACAAGATTGTAGACATACACAAGGCTGGAATGGGCTACAAGATCATCGCCAAGCAGCTTGGTGAGAAGGTGACAACAGTTGGTGCGATTATTCGCAAATGGAAGAAACACAAAATAACTGTCAATTTCCCTTGGCCTGGGGCTCCATGCAAGATCTCACCTCGTGGAGTTGCAATGATCATGAGAACGGTGAGGAATCAGCCGAAAACTACACAGGAGGATCTTGTCAATGATCTCAAGGCAGCTGGGACCATAGTCACCAAGAAAACAATTGGTAACACACTACGCCGTGAAGGACTGAAATCCTGCAGAGCCCGCAAGGTCCCCCTGCTCAAGAAAGCACATATACAGGCCCGTCTGAAGTTTGCCAATGAACATCTGAATGATTCAGAGGAGAACTGGGTGAAAGTGTTGTGGTCAGATGAGACCAAAATGGAGCTCTTTGGCGTCAACTCAACTCGCCGTGTTTGGAGGAGGAGGAATGCTGCCTATGACCCCAAGAACAGCATCCCCACCGTCAAACATGGTGGAAACATTATGCTTTGGGGGTGTTTTTCTGCTAAGGGTACAGGACAACTTCACCGCATCAAAGGGACGATGGACGGGGCCATGTACCGTCAAATCTTGGGTGAGAACCTCCTTCCCTCAGCCAGGGCATTGAAAATGGGTCGTGGATGGGTATTCCAGCATGACAATGACCCAAAACACACGGCCAAGGCAACAAAGGAGTGGCTCAAGAAGAAGCACATTAAGGTCCTGAAGTGGCCTAGCCAGTCTCCAGACCTTAATCCCATAGAAAATCTGTGGAGGTAGCTGAAGGTTTGAGTTGCCAAACGTCAGCCTCGAAACCTTAATGACTTGGAGAAGATCTGCAAAGAGGAGTGGAACAAAATCCCTCCTGAGTTGTGTGCAAACCTGGTGGCCAACTACAAGAAACGTCTGACCTCTGTGATTGCCAACAAGGGTTTTGCCACCAAGTACTGAGTCATGTTTTGCAGAGGGGTCAAATACTTATTTCCCTCATTAAAATGCAAAGCAATTTATAACATTTTTGACATTACATTTACATTTTACATTTTAGTCATTTAGCAGACGCTCTTATCCAGAGCGACTTACAGGAGCACATGCGTTTTTCTGGATTTTTTTGTTGTTATTCTGTCTCTCACTGTTCAAATAAACCTACCATTCAAATTATAGACTGATCATGTCTTTGTCAGTGGGCAAACGTACAAAATCAGCAGGGGATCAAATACTTTTTTCCCTCACTGTATATACACCTGTTATGAAAGGCCCCAGAGTCTGCAACACCACTAAGCAAGGGGCACCACCAAGCAAGTGGCACCATGAAGACCAAGGAGCTCTCCAAACAGGTCAGGGACAAAGTTGTGGAGAAGTACAGATCAGGGTTGGGTTATAAAAAACGTTGAACATCCCACGGAGCACCATTAAATCCATTACAAAAAAATTGAAAGAATATGGCACCACAACAAACCTGCCAAGAGAGGGCCGCCCACCAAAACTCACGGACCAGGCAAGGAGGGCATTAATCAGAGAGGCAACAAAGAGACCAAAGATAACCCTGAAGGAGTTGCAAAGCTCCACAGCGGAGATTGGAATATCTGTCCATAGGACCACTTTAAGCCGTACACTCCACAGAGTTGGGCTTTACGGAAGAGTGGCCAGAAAAAAGCCATTGCTTAAAGAAAAAAATAAGCCAACACGTTTGGTGTTCGCCAAAAGCCATGTGGGAGACTCCCCAAACATATGGAAGAAGGTACTCTGGTCAGATGAGACTAAAATTGAGCTTTTTGGCCATCAAGGAAAACGCTATGTCTGGCGCAAACCCAACACCTCTCATCACCCTGAGAACACCATCCCCACAGTGAAGCATGGTGGTGGCAGCATCATGCTGTGGGGATGTTTTTCCATCGGCAGGGACTGGGAAACTGGTCAGAATTGAAGGAATGATGGATGGCGCTAAATACAGGGAAATTCTTGAGGGAAACCTGTTTCAGTCTTCCAGAGATTTGAGACTGGGACAGAGGTTCACCTTCCAGCAGGACAATGACCCTAAGCATACTGATAAAGCAACACTTGAGTGGTTTAAGGGGAAACATTTAAATGTCTTGGAATGGCCTAGTCAAAGCCCAGACCTCAATCCAATTGAGAATCTGTGGTATGACTTAAAGATTGCTGTACACCAGTGGAACCCATCCAACTTGAAGGAGCTGGAGCAGTTTTGCCTTGAAGAATGGGCAAATATCCCAGTGGCTAGATGTGCCATGCTTATAGAGACATACCCCAAGAGACTTGCAGCTGTAATTGCTGCAAAAGGTGGCTCTACAAAGTATTGACTTTGGGGGGGTGAATAGTTATGCACGCTCAATTATTATTTGATTTTTTTCTTATTTCTTGTTTGTTTCACAAGAAAAAATATTTTGCATCTTCAAAGTGGTAGGCATGTTGTGTAAATCAAATGATACAAACCCCCCAAAAAATCAATTTTAATTCCAGGTTGTAAGGCAACAAAATAGGGAAAATGCCAAGGGGAGTGAATACTTTCGCAAGCCACTGTATATTTCCACACTATGAGGTGGGATTAATGCTGTGAAATTGTGACAATGATGATAATGCCCTTTAAGTGTAAGAGCTGTTTCAAAAGACCACCTGAAATTTCAGCCTGTGTTGGTGGGATGGAGTCTTGGCCTGCCTGGTGACATCACCAGGAGACCAATAAGAAAGAGTTCTAAACCTCTCTGCCAATAACAGGTAGTTTTCTGTTTTCCACTCACCACTCCCAGACAGTCCTAGCAAAATTCTTGCTTGAGAAATTGCTCTTTGCTAAGAAGCTATTCTTGTTTCTTTTTGACCATTTTAATTGAAAACAATCACAGTAAGGTACTTAATTGTTACCCAGAAATGATGTGATATTGAGATTAAAACAGCTGCATTGGACCTTTGAAACAAAAGGCTTTTTTTAATTGAAAAAACAAAACAAAAAAGTATTAGAAACATATTTACGTGGCACCTCGTCATCTCAGTCATGTTGGGAACAAGCCATTCATGCATTTCCCAACATGGTCACAGTTTTCCCCTTCAGTACAAACTTTACAGTACTTATCTATGTTGCATTGCTACATCCCCAGGCAGATATATTGTAACTTAAAAGAACAATTATGATAATAACTGTCATTATTACGATTAACAATAATAAAACAAAAAAAGATAAATGATAAGAACAAAACATATACATTAACTCAATGAAGGACATAAATACATTAGTCACTCAAAAGACAGTTTTGTCACCATCAGGGAAGACAACACACCATCTTAGTGCGCAGCTTCATGACACACTGGTACAGTATAGGCCAGTCCATTGTCAAATCATTAGAAACAGAGGATAGAGACAGGGCCCAGAATAGGCTGTAACAGCAATGAGAACATGATATGCCAAGCTGAGGCAGTGACCGAGAAAGCCAAGTGAAGTATTCCTGACATGAGGGTGGGAGTATTCCAGGTCAAAAACTCCTTTAGACTGTCCATTCTGTGGTCCCCAAGTGGGTCTCCGATCATCTCAAACTCCCTGCATTTGTCTTCAAGAACGACTGCGGTCCTCTTGGGTTCCCACTAGCATTTTGCTGTATAACTTTTGTTGCTCCTCTTTGAAGGTGTCTTTTACCTTCCCTCGCTTTAAACCTCCATCCCTACAAAGCAACAACAACATAATTCACTAGAGACAGCCACGGGCCGATTGTTTCTTGAGTAAGGGATAAAGGGGGCCGGAACATAATTACAAATAATTTGTAGACTGCAAATTGACCACAAGAAGCCCAAACAGACATAATATTTGACAAAAACATAATCATTTCATTTAAAATATCTCTCCATTATATGTGGGAATACTTTGGAACAGATTTCCAAAATTCAAATCACTTTGAGCTGTTTTGCTGGTGTTTTTACAGTCTTATTTTGGGGAACCCTGCATTACACAGTATTCTGTGAAGCCCACAAGGGGATACATTAGAGCAAAACTGAGCTGGGTTTAACAATGACACAGACCTGATAAGTATAACCCATGTGTACATATGTTCTCTGATGTTTGCTATGGGTTACTCACCATAGCAAGTCCACCAGCCCTCCTTGCCTGGCGATAGCTGCTTTAACCCGATTGGCAAACTGGACAGCATCCTCTCCTTCCTGTTCAGAAAGGAAGACAAAGATCATAGAGAGATGAAGACCAGATAGACACACAAAGGGGACTTGGCCACCTGAGCATCAGACATGTCCTGGAAAGGGTCTTATTGCACATATTGTATGAATGACCACCAGTTATCCTTTCGATTGGCTACATCCACTAATGGGCAAAATTGGCATGTAGTGTAGTATCAAGCACATTTTGACAAACTGGGATATTAAATAAAGCACAGTGCATTTCATGGGCCATGCATCAGAGGAAAGAAAATAATCTCTAAATTTGGATTGATCTGATTCTGTGTGATGCTGTGTGACTATGATCCCCTTGTGACAGAGACATGAGGCTGCTCCAAAAGCCTGCTCTAAGTACTAGTTTCCATTCAAACAGCAGGTGGAAAATTTGATCAAAGGGCAGGACACCTCTGAGGACCAGTTGGATCCTAGCCCACTGAGTTCCTTCCACTCTGACATTTAGAGAAAGGAAAACTTCCCAAACTTCCCTCCCTCTGCTTTCTACATCAAGATGGGATGGTCGGTCGGTCAATGGCCCCAAAGCTGGCCAACCCCTGCCTCTGAACACTATGTTTTAGAAGTGAGTACAACGTTTTAGAAGTGGGTGGTTGTACTCAACCCTTTGCTGTTATTCATGAGCGAGGCCTGACCAAGTTCACATCCACACCCGCTCAAAAGACTCTAAAATCATTATCTAAATTCCTTACACCAAGTCACATACATTAAGTGCTCATCCACAATCCTGGTACAAATTGCTTTGTCAAGCTCTGGTTGTGCAATCAGCCTTAATGTACAACCTCTACCTCAACGTGAGCAAGACAAAGAAGCTGATCGTGGACTACAGGAAAAGGAGGGCCGAACACGCCCCCATTCACATCGACGGGGCTGTAGTAGAGCGGGTCGAGAGTTTCAAGTTCCTTGATGTCCACATCACCATCAAACTATCATGGTCCAAACACACCAAGACAGTCGTGAAGAGGGCACGACAACACCTTTTCCCCCTCAGGAGACTGAAAAGATTTGTCATGGGTCGCGAGATCTTCAAAAAGTTATACAGCTGCACTATCTAGAGCAGAGGTGTCAAACTCATTTTAGCTCAGGGGCCACATGGAGGAAAATCTATTCCCAAGTGGGCCGGACCGGAAAAATCATGGTATATATAACTTAAAAACAACAACAGATTGTTTTCTTTGTTTTAATACGATCAACATACAACATAAAGCTGGAGCCTGAGGACAGTGTGTCCAAAATAGTACAAGCACAACATCACTATTAATCATAAAACACGTCAAGTTTATTTGAAAATTCTAAAGGAAAAGAACACACAAACACACAATGCCTCAGTGATTAACAGAAATGTTTCACAGATCACAGAACTATATCAGGGTGTCATTTCTCAGGCAGAAATGTAGATAGAAATAATGAAATCCTGTTCCCCAAACAAGTGCAAGAACCACAGAGTCAAGAATAGGTTAAATATACAAATACAATAAAATCAATTAAAAACAATAGCACATCAACATAAAAACATATAAACATAAAGCTGGAGCCTGAGGACAGTGTCCAAAAGCACAACATCACTATTAATCATAAAACACCTCAAGTTATTTGAAAGTTCTGAGGACAAAGAACACACAAACACACAATGCCTCAGTGATTCACAGAAGTATATCACAGATCACAGAACTATATCAGGGTGTCATTTCTCAGGCAGAAATGTAGATAAAAATAATGAAATCCTGTTCCCCAAACAAGTGCAAGAACCACAGAGTCAAGAATAGGTTAAATATACAAATAAAATAAAAACAATTAAAAACAATAGCACATCAACATAAAAACATAAATCTGAAAGCGTTGCTCAAACTCCCGTAACAGTCCCGTTATTTTATCTTTGAACCGCTTCATGTCTGCCACATGTTGGGTCGCGCACACATTTTTTAAGACAGGGGAAGTGAGCTGCATCACCACCGGCAAGTTGCGTCTCCCACAATGACAGCTTCAACTTGAAAGAACGTATGCTGTCATAATACTGCGTGACAACTTTGTTGCGCCCTTGCAGCTGTTTGTTCAAGTTATTCAAGTGCTCTGTAACATCCACCATAAATGCAAGGTCCGGCATCCATTCTGCGGAATGAAATTCTAACACTGGTTTGCCCTTTTCTTCCATGAACTGTTCAATTTCTTCTCGTAAATCAAAGAAACGCCTCAGCACAGCACCTCGGCTTAACCATCTTACCTCAGTGTGGTATGGCAGGCCATAGATGTGGTCTTTCTCTCTGAGAAGGCTGTCAAACTGACGGTGATTCAGGCTTCTGGATCGGATGAAATTAACAGTTTGGATGACCACCTTCATGACGTTATCCATCTTTAATGACTTGCAACACAAAGCCTCCTGGTGCAAAATACAGTGAAAAGTCAAAAAAATCACGTCCTCCATTTGCAGATTGCACTTTCTCTCTGAACTTTGTCACAACGCCTGCTTTTTTCCCGATCATTGAGGGCGCACCATCTGTAGCCAGGCTGACAGCGCGGGACCAGTCCACTCCGACCCTGTCCAGCGCGCCGACGAGTGTGGTAAAAATATCAGCTGCTGTCGTTGTATCTGTCATCGGCACCAACTCCACGAACTCCTCGGTGACGGTCAATGTGTCATCAATTCCGCGGATGAAAAAATGGCCAGTTGTGCAACATCTGTAATGTCCGTGCTTTCATCAATTGCAACCGAAAACGCAATAAATGACTTTACTTTTTGCTTCAACTGGCTGTCCAAATCCACTGAAAGATCGGAAATCCTGTCTGCAACTGTGTTTCTTGTCAGGCTGATATTTGCAAAAGCCTGCCGCTTTTCAGGGCACACAATCTCCGCTGCCTTCATCATGCATGTTTTTACAAATTCACCCTCACTAAATGGTTTTGAAGCCACTGCGATTTCATTAGCAATGAGGTAGCTAGCTTTCACTGCAGCGTCACTGATGTCTCGGCTGTGAGTAAACACAGACTGCTGTTTCTTCAGACCCGCCAACAGTTCATTCACCTTCTCTCATCTCTGCTGTCCTTGAAAGTTGTCATATTTGTCGGCATGAAGACTCACATAGTGGCGACGAAGGTTATATTCTTTCAGCACTGCAACATGCTCTGAACACACCAAACATACAGCTTTCCCATTCAATTCCGTGATTAAATAGGATGACCATTTTTCTTGGAACACTCTGCACTCTGCGTCCACTTTTCTCTTTTTTGACAGAGACATATTGGGGCAATGAGGGTGCCAAAGCACATAATGTTAAAAGTAGAAGCCGTAAGAAATATCGCGGGCAAAACAAAGTAGCTCATTGGCTGCACGTGCTTGACCTACTTGCTCTGCCCCGGTATAAACAGTTTGCTTGCTTAACACAATTGCTATTGCGCCATCCAGTGGACGCAATTGGAACAGCAGTTTATTTTATTGAAAAATTGCAGCGCATTTTTATACTTTACAAAATTATTATTATTATTATTATTTTTATTATTTATTTATTTTTTAAATCATCTCGCGGGCCGGATTAAACCCGTTTGCGGGCCTGATCCGGCCCGCGGGCCGTACGTTTGACACCCCTGATCTAGAGCATCCTGACCGGTTGCATCACCGCCTGGTATGACAACTGCTCGGCATCCGACCTTAAGGCGCTACAGAGGGTAGTGTGTACGGCCCAGTACATCACTGGGGCCAAGCTTCCTGCCACCCAGGACCTATATACTAGGCGGTGTCAGAGGAAGGCCCAAAAAATGGTCAAAGACTCCAGTCACCCAAGTCATAGAGTGTTCTCTCTGCTACCGCACGGCAAGCGGTACCGGAGCGTCAAGTCTAGGTCCAAAAGGCTCCTTAACAGCTTCTACCCGCAATCCATAAAACTGCTGAACAATTAATCAAATGGCCACCCAGACTATTTACATTGACACCCCCACCCCACCCCACCCCCCTTTGTTTTTACACTGCTGCTACTCACTGTTTATTATCTATGCATAGTCACTTTACACCTACCTAAATGTACAAATTACCTTGACTAACCTGTACCCCCGCACATTGACTCGGTACCGGTACCCCCTGTATATGGCCTCATTATTGTTACTTTTTATTTAATTTTTTACTTTAGTTTATTTAGTAAATATTTTCTTAACGCCATTTCTTGAACTGCATTGTTGGTTAAGGGCTTGTAAGTAAGCATTTCACGGTAAGGTCTACACCTGTTGTATTCTGTGCATGTGACAAATAAAAATATGATTTAATTTGAAAGACAACCCAACATGAGACAAACCAGCAAGTGTATAAGCCGGCATGTCTAAAGGAGGCAGCCACTCTCAAAATACTGCTTTGAATCACATTTCCTTAAATCAGGGGTGGGAGCTGGGAGAGGCCATCTCAACCTTAAATCTTAATGGAGGTGAATGCTGATTTAAAAACCGACTCAAAGCAGGATTAATTTGCATCACCAAATGCAAACTCTGGTTGACTTGAGCATGTCCTAGGTAAATCATGCCAGGTTGAGGTCAAAGGAAGGAGTGCATCATATGCATCCATTCAATATGAATAACACTGGTGGATTGAAATGAGAGAACTAATATTAACCACATGAAACAGCTAACTTCAGGGAGGTTAGCTTTACTACACCTTCTAAAATATTGACAGTATTAACTTGACTGGGGCTAGAGCGTGCTAATCAAATATAATTTGCCTGCCATCATTAAACAATTCACAATGGCCAGCAAAAACTTAAATGAGCTTAGGGTGTTGAATCAATGTCACAGCTATCCTCCAACCAAAAGAAAACGGTGAGGTTTTGCCCAAACTAACCTCTCTGCTCATGGGTGGCAGGTACCACACACTGCACACAATGGCCCAGCTGCTCATCATCCTCAGCAGGTAGTTGACCATCCCAAACTGGCTGCTGTTCCAGAAGGCATCTCCAAAGCGGGGGTCATACTGTTGGGACAGGAACTTAATACTGATTAATACTGGAAGACAGAGGAGAAAAAATACCATGCACGTACACGCACACATGCGCACACACACACACACACATAGGGCTGTTGCGGTGACCGTATTACCGCCACACCCACGAGCCATGAAGGCAGTAAAATTCCATGTGACCGTTTAGTCACGGTAATTAGGCTTCTCCAAGCTCTGATGTTGCTGCTGGTCATTAGTAGCCTACCAAACTTGCTAACTGCCTGGTACTCGGCATTCTATTTTCCCTCTAATCACTCTGACATCAATGCAAATGTATTCGAATCTAATCAAAACACTCCATGAGAGCCCATGAGCTCATGTTGCACAACATTTCTATTGGCTATGCAATTGCACAAGAAAACAGAGTGATGGCCTCTACTGAAAAGAGGAGGCTCCCATCAGCTTTCTATTGGCTAGGCCTACATTATTTATTTCTCAACTTTCCTAATATTAAGCACATTGCTTATATTTACAACAGGAGTATAGCCTACCTGGCTGGCATGAAAATGAACCATGAGAAAAGCGTCCTCCATTTGTTATTTAAGTGTATAGATGACATGTATTTTTTCCCGTTGCCCCTGTTTTTATACAGGTGCATGATAATGGTCCATTCTAAATCAAAACAAATTTCACACATATATTATTTAGTATATGTAAAGACAAGATTAAATTAAGAATAGTCTGATGGGTGACAGTATTAGCCTATCACTTGTGAATTATATATTCTCACTTGTGAATGATGCCCAGCATAGGAAACAATGCCTTTTTTTGCGACTTTTTCGAATCATAGTCGCACACCTCATGTAGCCTAGCCCATAGGCCTATATGTTTTGATAAGGTTTGTATCACAACTAAAGTGGCCAAATAACTTCTTAAAATTAAGCACATTAATCCACTTTACAAGGAGTGTAGAGCCTAACTGGCATACATAAGCAGCGCGTGAGTTTCAAGTTTGGGGAAGATCATTTTCACCTTAAAAATCCACCTTTATAATAAAAGCATTACATGCATAATTGCATTTGCGGTCACTTTTGATAATGGTGTTTTCCGCTAATGGAACATTCGCGCTTATAGCCTACTACCATGTGCGCATTGCTGCACTTATAATGTGAAGAAATAGCCTAATAGTTTATCAACATTTTAAGCTAAACGTTCTGATCTGTTGCGTCAGCCACATAGCGTAAAAAAGTATATTGCATTCCACAACTGTCCCAGACTATGTTTGGAATATTTATTTCTCACACAGAATAGAATAGGTCGACTTTTGTACTATGGGGGTGTCATGACTTGCCCTCATGGGTTGAGGATCAAAGATGCCGGCAAGGCAAAGGTTTGAACACCCCCTTTCCTGGGGGCCAGTTATATGACCGGTCGTAAATTCCTTACAGAAACTTTATTTTCCGAGCCATGAAGTATTGCGAGAGGGAATTTCCCTGTGGAACAATGGAAGTCTTCCCGCCAAGACTCCAACATCCAAAAGTTGATAATGAAACAATATTCCTACTTCAAATAATGTGGGAAATGGTCGGTGGGGACTTAAAGAACAATAATGTCAAATTCGTTACTATGTTGTGATGTCATTAAAGACGGTGGAACAACATACAGTTGAAGTCGGAAGTTTACATACACCTTAGCCAAATACATTTAAACTCGTTTTTTCAGAACGCGTCTCCTTCCTGAGCGGTATGACGGCTGCGTGGTCCCATGGTGTTTATACTTGCATACTATTGTTTGTACAGATGAACGTGGTACCTTCAGGCATTTGGAAATTGCTCCCAAGGATGAACCAGACTTGTGGAGGTCTACAATTTCTTTTCTGAGGTCTTGGCTGATTTCTTTTGATTTTCCCATGATGTCAAGCAAAGAGGCACTGAGTTTGAAGGTAGGCCTTGAAATACATCCACAGGTACACCTCCAATTGACTAAAATGATGTCAATTAGCCTATCAGAAGCTTCTAAAGCCATGATATAATTTTCTGGAATTTTCCAAGCTGTTTAAAGGCACAGTCAATTTAGTGTATGTAAACTCCTGACCCACTGGAATTGTGATACAGTGAATTATAAGTGAAATAATCTGTCTGTAAACAATTGTTGGAAAAAAACATTGTGTCATGCACAAAGTAGATGTCCTAACCGATTTGCCAAAACTATAGTTTGTTAACAAGAAATTTGTGGAGTTGTTGAAAAACAAGTTTTAATGACTCCAACCTAAGTGTATGTAAACTTCCGTCTTCAACTGTAACTGTATCTCTGGGGGTGTACACTTCCCAGTTATGAGGTTTGCGTCTAATTGTTTTATAAAACAAATGATTAAGTATAATAATAATTTTGTGAAGATAACAATGTGATGTTAGCATTCTAGATGAGATTATTGTTTTCCATATTGATTTGTTCTCAGTCAGTGGCCACGCCAAGATAAGCACAAACATGATGAAACACCCCCCTTTCTACTCAAGTATAAAACCCCTTGTGATGAAATTCACATCAGACCAAGCAGATTACGGTATAAGCCGGATGTTGCAAATGGTTGAATTTCTACCAGACCAGGAAGCGTGAAGCTAAAAGCTACACGGTTTAAAATGGTTAGACCAGGAAGCCCCACGGCTTAAAATGGTTGACACGCTACAGACCAGCCTACATGCAGCGCGAGCTGAATTTGGCAAAATTGTGAAACTCTGAAACTTCTTCACAAGGTGAAGAAGAAGACAACGCACTAGACCTTATCATCTCAGTCTGCAGCTGGCATGTATAGTCGTCTAGAGAACTTTCAGTAAAAGACACGAGTTGGGAAGGACAATCCCTCTCAGACAACTGTTGGTACATCTGAAGTATCTATTCTAACAGATCAACTCTACGAACTACAGGGTACGCTGAAGTATCCATTCTAACCTCCACTATGACCAGAAACTCTACCAAGGACATCGGGATCTCTGGTGGGCAAACCAGAGTACTACATCATCAACTCAACTATCGAGGACAGCTACACGTAAATACATGTTGCATTTCTAATCCGAATGAGCTGGTGCTAAACATTTGTATTTTCGTGAGTGTGGTTTCCAAAGTATCAATGATAGTTTGAATCTCTGTCTCTCCCTTTCAAGCATTCCTGCTATTGTTAGTCCAGTCCACTAGGGACCTGTTTTCATTGTATTACGTTAGTAATCAATAACCTGTGTGTGTGTTTGTATTGTGTTATTATTTAGTTAGTAAATAAATAATTAAGACAATTTGTGTATTGCTGATTCATCAATAAGGTTAGGGTTCTTGCAGGTTCAAGGATTATGCGACGTTCAGAATGAGACTGATAAGATGTAATTATTTAATAAGTGACTTTTATCGATATATAACATATATATATATATATATATATATATATATATATTGAAGAGTTTAATTCACGAGACGGTAACTCGTTGAACAACTTCTTCCGTGGTGCCCCAAATTCCTAATGAGTTATTTGTTACATTATTAATTGAATCAAGTGACAATTAAACATTGTTAGTTGATTCGATAAATAACAGTAATACATTAAAGTAAGTCACGTCTCGACAGGGGATAGTAGATTGACATAGGCTAGTGCTTTTGCTGTTCGTTAGGCCTACTCATCTTGTTGGCTGACGAAAAGTAAATGTGGACAGTTCTTCCAATATCTTCAATATGCACCTCGGAATTGGATAAGGACGTGCGCAGTTGCGTCCCCGATGTGTCTGTCTTCACTTGTAGCCTGTGAGAAAGACCCGATCACGTGATGGAGAGCCATGTGAGTGAGAGGTGATTCGGCACATTACCTATTTATTTGTTAACTGCTCAACACAGAATAGCCGCATGTGCACACTCCCTCAAAAATATTATTTACATTTTATTCAGCTTTGTTCAATTGTATTCTAAGCAAATCTTGTCTGCTAAATGACCTAGTGTAGCCAACAGCCATTTGGCATAGCCAGATCAGGACCTACAATGTCTTGCACAAGTATTAATTCCCCTTTACGTTTTTCCTATTTTGTTGCATTACAACCTGTAATTTAAATGGATTTTTATTTGGATTTCATGTAATGGACATACACAAAATAGTCAAAATTGGTGAAGTGAAATGAAAAAAATCCCTTGTTACAAAAACTTCTAAAAATGTATAATGGAAAAGTGGTGCGTGCATATGTATTCACCCCCTTTGCTATGAAGCCCCTAAATAAGATATGGTGCAACCAATTACCTTCAGAAGTCATATAATTAGTTAAATAAAGTCCACCTGTGTGCAATCTAAGTGTCACATGATCTGTCACATGATCTCAGTATACATACACCTGTTCTGAAAGGCCCCAGAGTCTGCAAAACTACTAAGCAAGGGGCACCACCAAGCAAGCGGCACCATGAAGACCAAGGAGCTCTCCAAACAGGTCAGGGTCAAAGTTGTGGAGAAGTACAGATCAGGGTTGGGTTATAAAAAAATATCTGAAACTTTGAACAAGGAGAACCATTAAATCCTGCCAAGAGAGGGCCGCCCACCAAAACTCACAGACCAGGCAAGGAGGGCATTAATCAGAGAGGCAACAAAGAGACCAAAGATAACCCTGAAGGAGCTGCAAAGCTCCACAGCGGAGATTGGAGTATCTGTCCATAGGACCACTTTAAGCCGTACACTCCACAGAGCTGGGCTTTACGGAAGAGTTGCCAGAAAAAAGCCATTGCTTAAAGAAACAAATAAGCAAACACATAAGGTGTTCGCCAAAAGGCATGTGGGAGACTCCCCAAACATATGGAAGAAGGTACTCTGGTCAGATGAGACTAAAATAGAGCTTTTTGGCCATCAAGGAAAACGCTATGTCTGGCACAAACCCAACACCTCTCATCACCCTGAGAACACCATCTCCACAGTGAAGCATGGTGGCAGCATCATGCTGTGGGGATGTTTTTCATCGGCAGGGACTGGGAAACTGGTCAAAATTGAAGGAATGATGGATGGCGCTAAATTCTGGGAAATTCCTGAGGGAAACCTGTTTCAGTCTTCCAGAGATTTGAGACTGGGACAGAGGTTCACCTTCCAGCAGGACAATGACCCTAAGCATACTGCTAAAGCAACACTTGAGTGGTTTAAGGGGAAACATTTAAATGTCTTGGAATGGCCTAGTCAAAGCCCAGCCCTCAATCCAATTGAGAATCTGTGGTATGACTTAAAGATTGCTGTACACCAGCGGAACCCATCCAACTTGAAGGAGCTGGAGCAGTTTTGCCTTGAAGAATGGGCAAAAATCCCAGTGGCTAGATGTGCCAAGCTAATAGAGACATACCCCAAGAGACTTGCAGCTCTAATTGCTGCAAAAGGTGGCTCTACAAAGTATTGACTTTTTCACAAGCCCCTGTAACATAAGGACAACTCAGAGTATGCTATTCTGTTCTTCTGAAATAGACTACATTTTCTTCATATCATGCTTCTTTAGACCTAATAATGGACTTATTGTGAAGGTGAAGGCTATATTACATGGATGTATTAGACTTTTTTAAATGTAGATGTTCCAAAGGTCTGCATCAGTGACTTGTAGGCTATGTGTGGAAGCCAGGAGATGCTAAATGTGTTTATGTTAATTAACGGTCAATTACCGTGAGACCGACAGTTATTTGCTTGACAATGACCGGCTGATGAAATTTTGTGACCGCCACAGCCCTACGACACACACACACACACACACACACACACACACACACACACACAGAGAGAGAGATCTACTCTCACCTTGATGGCCACAGGGTAGACTGTGGAGCCAATCTCAAAGCTGCCCTTTTTAAACATCATTACTGAAGTGTTGTTGATGCAGGTGCCTATGGGGAAAAAATCAGTTTACAAATTGGGATAGGAAATGATATTAAGGTAACAGTAACCCAGTAATCAACACTACTGTAATAATGTTCAAAGCAGTAACTAAGAAAAAAAACTAAAACGACTCACCTTCAGGGAAAATGAGAATAGGCAGTTTAGTTTTGTCTTCTACATGATCACTCAATCTGCAACACAAGAGATTTTTGTATGTTTACAGTACCTTGATTTAATACAGTTTGACTAGCTTTATCAATACACAAACACTTAAACCCAAATAAAGTCTAATCAAAACAACTTGGTCACAGTAAACTTTAATTGAAAGTTATCAATTATCCATTTCAGTTCTTTAAATGTCTCTGCTAAGGTACAGCTGAGTTAGTCTGGCTGATGTGCCCCACTTGTCTGGACAGGAGTTTGGTTTGTTGGTGCAATATTCGCTAAGAAATAAAGCGAGCTTTGATTGGTTCTCTCAACAAAACAATTATTTCTGGGGGGGTTATTTGGATTTGAAAATCCAGCAGTTGTAATGGAAGGGGGCAGCGTTCAGGAGCTGTGTATGGTGGTACATGTGGGTGTTTAGTGAGAAAGACACAAAGGAGAACCAACCAGTAAAAGCACAGCTTCATTATCAACGCATCGTGCCGATAACTTTAAACAGCCTCCCCAGACTCTGAAGTCAAAAGGATTTTGAGTTTAGTATCAGCCAGACTACAGCTGAGAGACTTCCAGCTAAAAAGCAGTAAACAAAGTGCGGATGTGCATTACTACCTTTTGGCCACTAGATGTCGGTCTTTGACTTCAGAGCGTTCAAACCAAATGTGTGGGCAGGCTTTCACCATAGACTTCTGGATCACGCCCATCAAACCACCATGGATTTGCCCAACCTGGAACACAATCAGACACACATGCAGGTGTGGTTTAACAAACATCTGATGATACAGGTCAACAATCTCACAGAATTGGAGTGCTTGCTTCAGCTCAAAGTTTGTTTGATGGTAGTAGCACACCAATAACTTTCTAAATATGACAACAATGATTGACAGCAGTCATTCTGTGCTGTAGTAGGTAGCCTTGTGTTTGACTGCTGTGCCATTTATCATGGGTGTTGGGCCTTACCATTGCATAGCAACCATCGCTGGCCAGGATGATGACATCAATTGGTGAGGTGTGGTTGGCCACACAGATCCCTCCATTCTTGGGCTTGTTTTCACTGGAAGGATCGAGAGAGAGACAGAGGAGGACGGGATGAGTGTCAGGGGACAAGTGAGTTTCAGGAAATTACTATTCCAGTGTAAGCTAGAGCCTAACAACTCAGTAGATGATGGAAAATGTAGTCCTACTGGGTTTGTGGGAGAAACTCGGCGCCCTCTGCTTCACCTCTCCCTAATTAACATGAAAGTGGGAGGACACTAATGATGTTGGAGTTCAAAGCCATACCCCCTGAGCATGCTGGACTGGAGTAGGAGCCCAAATTCCGAGGAGATAATGTTGCTGATCGTGTTACCAAGAGAGAGCACATTTTACACCACTTCAGTATTTTTAGCCCCACCCAGACTAGAGAGAGAGGCACATGCTGTAACAGGCCCAGCGCTACATGTCGATTCCTTCAGGGCTAACAGGCAGTATGGGAGCAAGATGGGACATAATCCATACCGAATACACCACATTCCTATAAAGAAACGTCTATTATTATTATTAGTAGTAAACGTTTATTGCCTCTTAGAAACGTATTTTGTTTATGATCAGTTATTTTTTATCCTGATGGATAGGTCTTTCAAAACATTTGCTCTGAGGGACAATTTCACAGACAGAGATTAGCCTAACCCTTCTGGTCCTGGACTTAATGGTTTATTTGAATGAGTAGGCCTATTGTTTAAATACACTACCGGACTATGACGACTCATTTTCTTTTTTTTAAACTGCAAAACAAAGAGTATCTTGACAAGTTCATATGACAAGTTCCCTCTCTGACCTAGAGTTGGGGATGAGAAGGTCTATATTTCTTCAATATGATTGAGACATTTCCCTTTTGCAACATTTCCTCAAATTTTCTTCTTGAATCATTTGAATCAGCATTGGCTAGTTAGGGCTTTGTCAAACAAACATGTGACTAGTGGTTTTGTAAAGGTTTTGCTCTACAGCAGTTATTCAAATCAACACATCCAAGACATGTCTTGGGGCAGTGTCTGGCATTTTCTCGCACCACAACAACTGAGGATCAATACAAATGTATCATCAGAGGACATTTGAACTGACAGAAAACTGCCTGCATCATGTCAAAAGGAATGTCCACTGTGCCTTTCAACTTAGTCTTATCAAACAAACACAAAGAGTAGCATAAACTGGCTAGGGTCGTGTGGTGTAGCGTAGAGTCTGGGTAAATATAATTAGCCCGATTAACTTCCAGTACTACTTCCTGCTGAGCTGTGCCAGGAAGCCCTAACAGTAGAAGGACAGTTATGCCAGAGCACATACTATCACACTGTGGGTGTTAATGCCTGAACAATGATGGATTTGCATGTTTCTCTGCCCCTGGTCCCTTTGGTGACACCTAGCCTGGGAAAGTCCAGGGCAGCAGTTTGTGCTGGGTGCCTCTCAGGGTACTCTACCCCAGACCTAAATGGAATGTGATGGCCTTGTTGGAGCAGCCCTTGCTTTGTGTGTGTGGGCGCCGGGCGGTCATGGCCACAGGCTTTTGAACTCCACCTAAGCTGACTCTGCTCACCACAGTGGACATGAATGTAGATTGCTACTGGCTCTCAGTGACTACTCCACTTACACTATCTCATAACTTTAGAATTCAAACTGATTTATTGATGTTGGCTCTAGTACACAGTTCAGTAGTGTTCATCTTTCAACAAAGATATATAGTGCATGTCATTCCTAATAATGGCATCAAAATGCTTTCCATGTGTTTTGTATTATTATTCTGTGTGTCGAGTGCTGTTGCTGCTGCTTACCTGTCGTGGTAGGTGATGATGGCAGTGAGAGCTCTTACACAGATCCGGTAACACATTAGATGCACCTGCTCACTGAGGAAGTTCTTCATCCTTCAGGAAAAACACAGAAAACAGGGACTGAGTTTCAACACCTACTAACCTAGTTACTAACCTAATTAAAATGTTACTACTCAGGTAATAAGGAAAGTCCTGTCTTACCTCCCATTTGGAAGAAACCCGATGATGGAGGTGAGAACGACCAGAAGGCCCACCCCGGTGAAGGCAAGTGTTACCCTGTCAGAGAACACACACACACAGAGCGCCAGTCAAACACTGCCCATACAGCCTAATCTATTAATATCAGAGAACATACAGAGTACAGGCCTATTCAAGGTGTCTAAACCGACAGTTGGTAGAGCTTTCACTCTTCAATGCAATCACTTTTTGACTGCATCCCTTTTGATTTAAACAAAACGTTCCATACGTTTGCCCATGGAAGAAGTGTTCAGAAAGTGACTTTTTGGACCTGAATGCCAAAACATTCAGGAGATAAAGGTGCTCAAAGTTGACCCATTTTGAATACCCCACCATACCATGAGACATCCATGTCTTCATCACTGGAAAAGATAAACTGTTGAGTTTTATATTATTTAAAAGCTTACAAACAGGGTTGTCAAACTATTTTATAATTTAATTTTAAAAAATTATACAAACAATTAAAAGTTTTAACATCAATTATCTAAAAACGTGTGTTGTAGCTTCGACCCTATTTTACATCATCTTTGGTTTTTGTGTTGTGCCTGCCATTTCTTGAGACACAACATGCTCTTGAATACAGGGTGGGTGTCATTTCAATCATAGAAATATAATTAATAGAATGTACATATCCCTTCAGACCACTGCAATTTAGCTGGTACACCATTTAAATGTAACTGAAATTGTAAATTCTAATTACTACCACAAAGATGGCCGTCAAATGCCAACTTAAATGGTCATGTTTATTAAATTATCTATATTATTTCAATAGGTTTCCTATGGAGAATTGACAGTATAATTTAAAACACATATTCCCATTCAAGTCAACATTCTCTGATGTGTGGACCTCCAACCAATTTTTGTGGTACAATTTGAAAGTTTAAATTTCAATTTAATTCCCATTTTAGTACATTTAAATCAGCCAAAACATGACACCCGACCTGTATTCAAGAGCATGTTGTGTCTCAACCGATGGTGGGAACAAAAAAACCTCAGATAATGTAAAATAGGGTCTAAACTAAAACATATGCGAATATGAAAAAGAGTTTAGATAATTGACGTTTAAGGTAAAAAAAAATGACAATTGTTATTACACTGAACAAAAATATACACGCAACATGCAACAATTTAAAGGATTTTACTGAGTGACAACTCATATAAGGAAATCAGTCAATTGAAATAAATAAATTAGGTCCTAATCTATGGATTTCACATAACTGGGAATACAGATATGCATCTGTTGGGTCACAGATACCTTAAAAACAAGGTAAGGGTGTGGATCAGAAAACCAGTCAGTATCTGGTGTGACCACCATTTCCCTCATGCAGCGCGACATCTTCTTCGCATAGACTTATCAGGTTGTAGATTGTGGCCTCCATGGGGCACTCTGTTCACAACGTTGACATCAGCAAACCGCTCGCTCACAAGACGCCATCGGGATTCATCCGTGAAGAGCACATTTCACCAGCGTGCCAGTTGCCATCGAAGGTGAGCATTTACCCACTGAAGTCGGTTACAACCCTGAACTGCAGTCAGGTCAAGACCCTCGTGAGGACGACGAGCATGCAGATTATCTTCCCTGAGACAGTTTCTAACAGTTTGTGCAGAAATTATTCGGTTGTGCAAACCCATAGTTTCATCAGCTGTCCGGGTGGCTGGTCTCAGACGATCCCGCAGGTGAAGAAGCCAGATGTGGAGGTCCTGGGCTGGCGTGGTTACACATGGTCTGTGATTGTGAGGCCGGTTGGACATACTGCCAAATTCTCTCAAACGACGTTGGAGGCAGTTTATGGTAGAGAAATTAACATTCAATCCTCTGGCAACAGCTCTGGTGGACATTCCTGCAGTCAGCATGCCAATTGCACACTCCCTCAAAACCTGAGACATCTGTGGCATTTTATTGTGTGACAAAACTGCACATTTTAGATTGGCCTTTTATTGTCCATGTGTAACAATCATGCTGTTTAATCAGCTTCTTGATATGCTACACCTGTCAGGTGGATGGATTATCTTGGCAAATGAGAAATGCTCACTAACAGGGATGTAAACAAATTTGTGCACATGAAACATGGGACCAACGTTTTACATATATTTTTGTTCAGTACAGTGAGGGAAAAAAGTATTTGATCCCCTGCTGATTTTGTACGTTTGCCCACTGACAAAGACATGATCAGTCTATAATTTTAATGGTAGGTTTATTTGAACAGTGAGAGACAGAATAACAACAACAAAATCCAGGAAAACGCATGTCAAAAATGTTATAAATTGAAATTGCATTTTAATGAGGGAAATAAGTATTTGACCCCCTCTCAATCAGAAAGATTTCTGGCTCCCAGGTGTCTTTTATACAGGTAACGAACTGAGATTAGGAGAACACTCTTAAAGGGAGTGCTCCTAATCTCAGCTTGTTACCTGTATAAAAGACACCTGTCCACAGAAGCAATCAATCAGATTCCAAACTCTCCACCATGGCCAAGGCCAAAGAGCTCTCCAAGGATGTCAGGGACAAGATTGTAGACCTACACAAGGCTGGAATGGGCTACAAGACCATCGCCAAGCAGCTTGGTGAGAAGGTGACAACAGTTGGTGCGATTATTCGCAAATGAAAGAAACACAAAATAACTGTCAATCTCCCTCTGCCTGGGGCTCCATGCAAGATCTCACCTCGTGGAGTTGCAATGATCATGAGAACGGTGAGGAATCAGCCCAAAACTACACGGGAGGATCTTGTCAATGATCTCAAGGCAGCTGGGACCATAGTCAACAAGAAAACAATTGGTAACACACTACGCCGTGAAGGACTGAAATCCTGCAGCGCCCGCAAGGTCCCCCTGCTCAAGAAAGCACATATACAGGCCTGTCTGAAGTTGGCCAATGAACATCTGAATGATTCAGAGGAGAACTGGGTGAAAGTGTTGTGGTCAGATGAGACCAAAATGGAGCTCTTTGGCATCAACTCAACTCGCCGTGTTTGGAGGAGGAGGAATGCTGCCTATGACCCCAAGAACACCATCCCCACCGTCAAACATGGAGGTGGAAATGATTATGCTTTGGGGTGTTTTTCTGCTAAGGGGACAGGACAACTTCATCGCATCAAAGGGACGATGGACGGGGCCATGTACCGTCAAATCTTGGGTGAGAACCTTCTTCCCTCAGCCAGGGCATTGAAAATGGGTGTGGATGGGTATTCCAGCATGACAATGACCCAAAACACACGGCCAAGGCAACAAAGGAGTGGCTCTCCAGACCTTAATCCCATAGAAAATATGTAGAGGGAGCTGAAGGTTGGATTTGCCAAACGTCAGGCTCGAAACCTTAATGACTTGGAGAAGATCTGCAAAGAGGAGTGGGACAAAATCCCTCCTGAGATGTGTGCAAACCTGGTGGCCAACTACAAGAAACGTCTGACCTCTGTGATTGCCACCAAGGGTTTTGCCACCAAGTACTAAGTCATGTTTTGCAGTGGTCAAATACTTATTTCCCTCATTAAAATGCAAATCAATTTATAACATTTTTGACATGCGTTTTTCTGGATTTTTTTGTTGTTATTCTGTCTCTCACTGTTCAAATAAACCTACCATTAAAATTATAGACTGATCATGTCTTTGCCAGTGGGCAAACGTACAAAATCAGCAGGGGATCAAATACTTTTTTTCCTCACTGTATAAGAAATATATACAGTACCAGTCAAAAGTTTGGACACACCTACTCATTCAAGGGTTTTCCTTAGTTTTTACTATTTTCTACATTGTAGAATAATAGTGAAGACATTAAAACTATGAAATAGCACATATGGAGTCATGTAGTAACCAAGAAAGTGTTAAACAAATGATAATATATTTGAGATTTGAAATTCTTCGAAGTAGCCACCCGGGTATGTAGTGACACCTCAAGCACTGCGATGCCTTAGACAGCTGCGCCACTCGGGAGGCTTGCCTGGAGGTTTTAATTGAAGTCACTGATTGGGGAGAGTCCTACCTGTGCCCCCAGGCAAGGACACCTCTACCTCTGCCCCCCTTCCCGCTCCGCAGCCAGATGACAGCTGTTAGGCATGCTTTGAGGGAGCTTAAATGAAAAGCTGTTGCCATGTAATTAGTCATTAGAGAAAGCTACTTGGCCTAAAGCCACATTTTCCTAGAGATTCACAACAAAATGACCTCACCGTGACTAAACGTACAAACTACCGTGGGAACAACAAGAGGCACCTTTATGAGATATCACCAGGAATTCCATGGTAATGGTCAAGCCATAAAATACTTGATACTATGGTCAGATACTTTGCAATGCAATCTGATCACTTTTTATATGAGACAAACTGTAGCCTACTATATGTACTGTATGTTCATTTGGGTAGGAGATGCATTACTATAGCAAGTTGGAGCAGTAAACATCTGATAAGCTCAGTCCTGTTTCAGTGGTCCTGTTTCATTAGTAATTGGCAACCCTGGATGTGGAGAGATATACAGCCAGGAGTAGTGAGCAACATGATGAAAGGAGCTAGTCATCTCATTCAACTTCCTACCTGTGATCAGGTGAGAGGATTAGGCTAGAGGCTATAGAGTTAGAGGCTATTCTCATTGATGAACATTTAAGGAGAGGCAGCGCGACAATATAATATAATAATAATATAATAATATGCCATTTAGCAGACGCTTTTATCCAAAGCGACTTACAGTCATGTGTGCATACATTTTTAAGTATGGGTGGTCCCGGGGATCGAACCCACTATGTTTGTACACGCATTAGCTAACCGTAGCTTGCAAGACAATAACACTGCTAGCTAGCTATGCTAGCAAGTAACGTTAGCATATTGAACGTTTACCCCTCTCATATGAATATAAAATGTACAGTTTCAGTATATTAAAGTTACCTTGGAACAAACCAGGGTTCATTTTATCAATATGGAAGTCATTACATGAGGTAAACGCAAAATTGCCCTATCCCACTTGGACAAGAGGAATACCTATGTGAGAATGCTGTTCATCGACTACAGCTCGGCTTTCAAAACCATAGTGCCCCCCAAGCTCATTACTAAGCTA